GAGAGTTACACGTCTTGGTAACATAAGTTCACAGCCAAGGAAGTTCAAGTGGGAGCATGAGGGCTTGAGGAGGATCACATTTTCCTCCTCCTCCTCACACACACACACACACACACACACACACACACACACACACACACACCCATCTCCCCTCCCTTGCCTATCCCATTTCTAGCCACAGTCGTCACCCTTCTGCAGACCAAGGAAAAATAGCGACTGTGTCCGGGACTTTTCCCTCAACCATGAATGACGTCGTTGATTGTATATGTATAGATATGTACATACCAAGATATGTGAACACGCCTGACGCCAAGACTGTTACCATTCATTATACCATTTATTCACATGTCTGTATTACTACATATTATTATAGCATGTCTGATATCTATGCTTATGTCTAATGCCTATGTCCATTTACTATGTCCCGATATACTATGTCTGTACCGCGCTAGTCGAGTAATTAGAAGACCCCATTTATTGTCCTAGTAATGTCTAGCAACTCTCCTTGCCTAGCTAGCTAATTTCCCTCAGATCGGCTTCGGCCTGCCTACGACGAGGAGTTCCTTGTGCTGGCTCCTGTTCCTGTACCGGTTGGCTATCACGCCCAGTCTTGTACACTTACTGAATATACCTACTGCTCGTGCTATTGGAGTTTCAAGAACCTTGTCCAGGATTACACCACACTACAGTATACAAGTCACAAGAGCGAGAGAGAGTTAGGTTGGGTTGGGTTGGGTTGGGTTGGGTTCGGTTCGGTTGGGTTGGGTTCGGTTCGGTTGGTGTGGGGTAATGATAAAAGCGCCGAAACACATATATCAAAACTATCACCTAAATTCACAGGTTCATACCCGATTAAATCAAAAGAATATGGAACCAAATTCCATGTAACTGAGCCAACGATAAACGTCACAGACATAGTACATGTAGATAGAATGAAAAAAGTCAGCAGAGATTAAATCAAAAGAATATGGAACCAAATTCCATGTAACTGAGCCAACGATAAACGTCACAGACATAGTACATGTAGATAGAATGAAAAAAGTCAGCAGAGACTTAGTAGGGACCCCTAATGACAGTCAATTACATCCCACTTCTACTACGACAGTTGCTCAACACGACACAACAAGAGACAATAAGTATCGTCAAAAATTGCGATTAACAAACAAGAAACATTAATTATCCTCACCCCTTTCAGGCATGACTTGGATATCACTATTCCTGTTAGCATCGACCGAGGTAGCAACAGCCGCATCCCTCGCAGACTTCATCAAACCCAGAGCTTTAGTTGCCCCACTGGGCAAAGTACTTGTAGTGGAAGGCGTCGTAACTGTCAAATACCAGCTCCATGGTTTAGCGCGTATGCCTGTGCACCTGATGTCAATAGCTGCCCACACTGAAACAGCTATGCACACCTGCAAGATCTCGAACAATAGTCTGCCTTCTCTACAACCCTTCGACAAACCATCTCACTTCAGAACGTCCGTATGAAGTCTATCCAAGCGCGTAAGGCACTTTGAGGGAAAGCTACCTACGTCTCCTGAAGACATAAGGAAGAAAGTACATTCTCATCGGCGTCAAAAACGTGGTCTATTTAATTTTGTTGGTTTAATAAGTAACACCCTGTTTGGTACGGCACCCGCCGAAGATGTAGCTGAACTAGGGCAACGAATGAACGCAGTTTCAGAAGCGGTCATGAAACAGAATAGGGCCCATTAAAGGTGAATGACGATCTTTTGGTTCTTAACAGAAAAACTGAACTAATTGTGGTTTCAGATGATTTTTCGTTAGTTGCTGTGACTATGCATGACATGGGGTGGTTGGGTCGATTAACAAAAGCTTTTGTTACTAAAAGGAGAAGGATTATGAATTGAACAAACAAATTATTATAGTTTGCAGTTGATGGCCTGGGCTGGTCACGTGTGTGTGTGCGCGCACTAAGGCAACGTTAAGTGTGTTTCTCTTATTGCTGAAAGTAGGTACGTCCTGAGACGCCGGAGAATACCAGACGTTCACCCCGCCGTCTCATTGTTCATTGACGTTGTATACAATAACTTTGCCAGGGCGCCAGCCTCGCTAAACAAAGTTGTTGTTTTACTGGTGAGCCAAACGACCTCCTTCACCCTCTCCTCAACCTCTTTTTCCTGTCGGGCAACATTTTCAAGTGCTGCCGTATCGTGTTGCGACAATATCGCCGCCATATACATTATGAAGCTCGTCAGGTATACCGCTTCTTCTCCTTTGGTTCATCCCAGTACAATAGATTTTATGTGATTTGCCAGCAGGGGAACATAGGCTGTCACTGAGGCGTCCCAGAGAAGACAGACCAACATCCCGTGCATGCTGACGACGATAGTAATCAGTTGGTGATCCACATTGATCGGTGGTCTTGCGGCCATTCTATTAGTCCTTCGCATCTTTTATCACAGCGATGTAAACACTGTACCCTCATAACAATGGAATAAAACAGTTGTAAGGGACGTAGTCATAGTCACCTCTACCTGTTTTGTATCTCTGGGGACTCAGTTTTTAATTTCACTCATCCATCCCCTGCCTCTGGCCCTCCTACCCTTAACTTTGCCCATTAATATTTTTGTTATTATTCCCTAAGTACATGGCCAAAGTATCTCAGTATCTCATTATTCTTTTCAAAATATTTCTTGAGAATTTTTTGTTAATCTTAGTACTTCTTCATTTGTTTTCCTGTCAGTGTAGCTTATTCATAGCATTCACCTATAACATCACATTTAAAGACCCCCAAACCTCTGCTGAAAGTGTCCACTCTTCTGACCCATACATCAGTCCTTGCTGTATAAAGCCTTTCAGCAGCCTTTTTCTCATACTGAAGTTAATCTCCCTTTTCACTGTGTCTTTGTGATTACTAACTGCTGTTTTTCCTGGCCCTGTTTTTGTTTTTATTTCTTCCGTACATCTTCCACACAGCTAATGTTACTTACCATATACACAAAATATTCCACCAATCACAATCACCTTTACATACAGCCTTCCTTTACCAAGTACTGTATTGCCAGGTAAAATTGCGAGCACGTGACCAGGGTGAGGTCAGTGCATCTTTGGTTGACTGTACTTGTACCCTAGGGGACATTCTCGTGTACACAATATATCGGGACCAAGACAGGGATTGATACTCTTTCTAGTGGCGTTTGTCGTCACCGATTACTGCGTCATAGTGGCGTAGTGTGGCACTTCCTCAATGTTTCAAAGGTGTCCAGTGTTCGTCAGATGCTTTTCATTGCGCGGCGTGAATGTGACATTTGAGATGGTATACATACTGTAAACTTCACTCATGCTCTAAGTAGTAGTAGTTGTAGTAATAGATTTTGTTGTAATAATAGTTGTAATAGCGGTAACAGTAATGATATAAAGGTACTACCACTACTACTTTTTTTTTAATGGCCTCCAGCCTCCCCCAATAGCCATACCTTCGCCGTTATTTTATTACCTTAAAATTAAATAACATAATACAAAAGTAGCTACCCTAGCTACTACTACTACTACTACTACTACTACTACTACTAATAATAATAATAATAATAATAATAATAATAATAATAATAATAATAATGATGATAATAATAATAATATCATTATCATTATAATTAGAACATGTATCAAAAATACGGAAAAACGTCATCATTTCTGTTTAAGAGCAAAGAAAGAGTAAATTATGAAATCCCAAGTTGTAACGAGGCCGATGTTGGAATTTCTTTTAGTGCCGTTGTCCTCAGAAATTTTAGGGTAAACAGGATACGTGACGCGCATTGTCCAGTCAGATAAGATGACTAACTCCTTTACTACTACTGCTACTCTTTCTGTAAATACTACTACTACTACTACTAATAATAATAATAATAATAGTGCGTGTTCAGTTAAGGGATGCCAGTGTAAAAGGTAATGGCATATAATAAAAAGAAATTCATCATATTTGGGGACAATATTAAGCTATTTATTTTACCTTGTGCCAGAGTATTGGGTCACGGCTTTGCGTCATGGACCTTATTTCTTTTCCTGGATGACATCCTGTCTTTGTACACTTGCAATAGACTTACCTATCTTTTGACTTGTAACGTCTCTCTCTCTCTCTCTCTCTCTACTACTACTTCTCTTCCCCCTTTCCTTCATACTCCTCCTTCTCTTTTTCTTCCATCCCCTCCTTTTCGTTTTCCTCCTCCCCCCTTTCTCCTTTTCTTCCTTCTCATCTTCCTTCTTCTTCTTCTTCACCTCTTCCTTCGTCTCTTCTTCCTCCTCTTCATCACCTCCTCCTCTTTCTTCTCGTTCTCCTCCTCATCTTTCCCCTCCTTCCTTTATTTTTCTTCTTTCTCGTTTCCCTCCTCCGTCTCCCTCCTTCTTCTGTCGTTCTTCCTGTTCCTCCTTCCCATCCTCTCGCAGTTCCTCCTCCTCCTCCTCCCATCTTCCCTCATTAGGTCAATAACAATAATAGAAACTTTTTTAATGCTGGGAATTTATTACTAAGATCAAGGAAGGGGGGAGAAAAGGGAAGGGGGGGTAAGGGAGGGAAGTGGGTAGGTGTTGTGGAGATAATGCTATACAGTACTATTCCCCCTAGTCCTAACAACGTCACCCGTCCTAGCAGTTGTACTAGGAAAAGTGGCACTACTAGCAACAGGACCTGGCAATGTGTACTATTCCTAGCAGTATACTGTATGTATTTTTTTAATATTGGCAAAAATACTCGGAAAAAAGTACCATTGCTAATAACAGTACCGGTTCTAGCTAGAAAATACTAGGTTAAATATGACTAGCAAGACTTCCATCCTAGCAACAGTGTCAATCCTAGCAGAGCCACTAGGGAGGACGCCACTAGCAGCAGTACCTAACCGCATGTACTACCTTGACTAGTACTCCAAGCAGCAGTACCAGATTCTGGGTACTAGTAGATTAGTAGTGGGGGTTCCACAAGGGGGGAATTTCCCTCCGTCCCTCTCCCCGCCCCCCCCCCATCTCCTATCACCTCATCTTGGCGACCATTGTCTCTCTTTTAACTCTTTTGTTGTTCTTATCATTTGTATCTTTATTGTTCATTATTTTCGTATAATATTCGTCCATGTTATCCTCAATCATTAGCATATATTTTTATGCTCTCTCTCTCTCTCTCACCTGTCACCAAAGGCTCCAATGAGTGCGACGACAGCATAAGGCGTCCATGAAGAAGAGACCCATGCAGACCTTAGCAATGCGGATCTCTGCTGACTTCTCCTGCTCCTCCTTATTCCCGACACTTCTTAGGCTATCCACGTTCATCTTCTTGGCCTGTGAGGAGATGGTGACGTGAGTGAGTGAAGGGCTTTTAGAATGAGGGGAATTGAATTGAATTTTTCCGCGAGTACTAGTTTATTGTGCACTACATACTCATCCTGTGAGCGGTAACGCAAAAGGGATTACAGATCAAAGGTCAGAAAGGGTGCTTATCAGATCCCAGTGGTCAGGATATTGTGACGCTAAGTGTTACAGAGTATTTCCAGTACACTGTTTAGTTCAGTATAAAGAAGTTTGCTTAGCTACTAGATGTGAAATGTGGATACACCTTTAGTGTATCAACGATATTACCATCAGAGATATAAAGTGCTGTGCCATGCTTGGACCTGTCCCTAAAGGGTTCGCAGACGTAGTGTTGGAGTGTGTGGCCATATGTCTGGAGAGGCATACTGCCAGAGGTACTTATACCTTAACCTAGCGTTTACAGCATCTAGTGGAGGCTCACAAATAATACAGTATCTTCCTATGATTAATCTACCTATTCTCACCTGTACCCCTTATGATTACGTTCATATCTATCTATTAAGTAGCCTACCTGTATTCTGTGTCACACACCTTTAAACACTCTAAGGCTGTTGTAATCAGCTTATAGGTATCACCTTGTACCCTCTTTGTTAACTAGTACTGACCTGTGATTTCATGGACTTCTCGTAAGCGCTGACGTGCCCAAAGATCTGGCTGTAGAAGTACACGATGAAGAACCCAGGCAAGACGTAGGAGAAGAAGAATACGCCGGCCACGAAGGTGAGGGTGTTCTCATCCTCAGTCAGGAAGTCGAACGAACATGTGGTCAGGAAGCCCTCTGTGTGTGGTGATAGTGGTGGTCAGGAAGCCCTCTGTGTGTGGTGATAGTGGTGGTCAGGAAGCCCTCTGTGTGTGGTGATAGTGGTGGTCAGGAAGCCCTCTGTGTGTGGTGATAATGGTGGTCAGGAAGCCCCTCTGTGTGTGGTGATAATGGTGGTCAGGAAGCCCTCTGTGTGTGGCATAGTGGTGGTCAGTCAGGAAGCCCTCTGTGTGTGGGTGGTCAGAAGCCCTCTGTGTGTGGTGATATGGTGGCAGGAGCCCTCTGTGTGTGGTGATAATGGTGGTCAGAAGCCCTGTGTGTGTGTGATAGTGTGTGTAGTTGTGAAGCCCCTCTGTGTGTGATAGTGGTGGTCAGGAAGCCCTCTGTGTGTGGTGATAGTGGTGGTCAGGAAGCCCTCTGTGTGTGGTGATAGTGGTGGTGATAGTGGTGGTCAGGATATAAAGTCTTGAAAATATAGCTCTGTCGTCCTTCCATATAACTCCATAAGTAAATCTTCACTCGAGTTCTTTACCTTGAAAACTTTTTACTTACGAACAAAACCAAAATTAAGTGCCAAATATTAGTGGTGTTACGGTTCATTTTTGAGGCGTCCATTTTGGAAATGTCCAATATGGCCGCCAGATGAATATTTCAAGTGCCCACGTTTTTTTTTTAGAAAAGACGCCACCTAAGGAGCACTTGTGTTACATTTCATGCTTGTATGATTATCTGAAAGAGTTTTACCCTTATACAACTTACTGTACAAACTTCAGTATGTTACCCATCACAGAACACAACACCAGGTAAGGGTTAACATAGATAGTTTAACAATTACAATATTTCTTTCTTTTTATTGTGACTTTAAATACAAATAATAGAATAAATAAATACAAAATGCGCGAGACAGAAGATATGCATTAATTAATACACACAGAAAGAAATAGTAATTACGTGTATATACCTTTAACTGCTTACTTATCAGGCATAGATACACCTTAAATAGACCTGTTATTACACACACACACACATATATCTACCTTACTGATACTCTATCTAAATATAAGATACAGTCTGTGTTAAATAAAAGGTGTAAAAACAGAACATTTATAAAAATATTCAACCGAATGTAAATCGTGAAATCGTTCAGTTTCATCAATTTGCAAGTTACGTATTTTTTACAGATTTCTTACGGAGATGAGAGAAAGAGAGAGAGAGAGAGAGAGACTGTTACTTTCCACAGCAGAGTGTTACTTCGATGCTAAGACAACCTTTCACCACCACAGCCCCACACCACCACAACAGCCCCACACCACCACCACAGCCCCACACCACCACCAGTAAGAACCTCCCTCAAGCCATACTCAACTTATAGCGACTCTGAATAGCTAACTTCCTACCAGCATCTTCCTCATCGTCCTCCTTTCTCCTGGTGTACAGACCAAACCTCGGATCCTTCTCTCTCTCCTTCTTCACAGCATAATTCTCTAGTCTCTTAATGATGCACTTATGACCCTTCTCCTTGGCGTGGTCAATAGGCAAGAAGTCGTCACAGTCCCGGATGTCGTGGCGGGCGTCGTTGTCTAGAAGGATACGGACCAGGGATTCGTTTCCGAGTCTGGCAGCGAAGTGAAGGGGTGTGAGGCCTCTGTTGTCTGTCGTGTTGATTTTGGCGCCGTTGTTGATAAGGATATAAAGGTCTGACATGATGGAACTCTTGCCTGCACGGGAGGAAGGAGAGAGAAGTAAACATTGTGAGATAATGAGAGACAGAGAGAAACGGGATTGGTCTCTTGCCTGTATGGGAGGAAGGGTTGACTGGTTGACCGGTTGCTTGACCGGGTTAGGCTGACTGGGGGTTGGGTTGACCGGGGGTTGGGTTGACTGGGGTTGGGTTGACCGGGGTTGGGTTGACTGGGGACCGACTGGGTTGGTTGACTGGGGTTGCGACGGGGGTTGGGTGACTGGGACTGGGGGTTGTTGACTGGGGGTTGGGTTGACCGGGGGTTGGGTTGACCGGGGGTTGGGTTGACCGGGGATTGGGTTGACATGGAAACATTATGAGAGGAAGAAGCACAGGGTCCTGCCTGTGGGGGGAAGGAGAGAAGTGGGAGTTGTGAGGTAAAAGAGACAGACAGACGTAAGGAGATAAATATAGAGCGATTGACCTGACCTGAAGTGAGGTAGAAGACCCACAATGCACCAGCGTTATGACATAAACCTTATACTACCTTAATATAACCTCACTTTAACAAGATCACCTTAACGGGGTTAACTTAACGGGGTTAGCTTAATGGGTCAACTTAACGGGGTCAGCTTAACAAGGGTGACGTATACTTAGGCAAGAAAGACTATAACTGGCTGAGGGGCTCAATAGGGGTCATGGAGAAACAAGGAGTATTAAGACTGGTAAAGTCATCAAGACATTATTGTCAGGTATACAGTATACCCGGGAGCGTGACGGTGATAATTTTGAAATATTTTAGAAATCGCAAAATATTCTCACAAACACGATTGTAGAAATTCTTTAAAACTTAAGACTTCGGATATTTATTTCTTGAACTCTTAAGAAAATTACTTTAATAAAAAACTACTAGAAGACGCAAGAAGTTTCACAAACATTAAAGTTTGTGAAGCCATCGCCGGGGAGAGACTTACAGGCAGCGTAGTGTAATGGCGTTCTTCCCAGTCTGTCCACGGCGGCTACGTTCCCTTCCTTCTTCACGAGTCTTCTGAGGACAGCGTCAGAACCTCCCCACCTGACGGCGTAGTGGAGGGGCGTAGCTCCTGTTTTGTCGGCTTTCCGGAGGCTGGAGCCGCTGTTGATGAGGTAGAGGACCAGAGGCTCGTGCCCTGAGCAGATGGCATGATGCAGGGCGGTGCGACCTTCCCCGTCTGTTTCATTGATGTTATATTCTGAGGGGAAACATTGACAAATAATTGACACCGTTTTCTACCTCAGAGAGTGAAGTAAGTTTAACATTTATTAGGAGAGCGAGAGAGCGTAGTGAAATGTGGTGTTTGGTCGTAGGAAAAAATATTATCTAGTATATTCAACATTGTGATAATTAATTTATATCTTATGAATCTATAACTCGCTCCACAATGTTGGATTAAATATCGTATACAGTAGTTCGTGAAATAAAACAAATATGAGTTGAAACTATATTGTACTTTACTTTATATCTAAATCAGTAATTGTGCTCCTGTTTCACACACTGAGTCTTTAGTCAGGCAGAATAGTTATATCTCGTTGTTATCTCACCGTTGTCAAGAAGCACTTCCATGGCCAACTGGCTGCCGACGCAGGCACAGTAGTGTATAGCGCGCTGCTCCTCTCCAACCTCAGTCACCCCAAGTCTGTAGATGGAAGGGGCTGAGCCGGTCTGTCTCACAAATTTATAACATTTATTGATATAGTAAAGGTTCATGTGAAGATCTGACACCCCAGCTGATTTCACCTTAAGGTTAATCATCCTAACCTAACCTTACCCTCCACCACCCCAAGTAGTATTAGTGTCATTAATCATGAGGTGGAATAAGCTGGGGCACCTAATATTCACATGATCTTTTCTTTATCTCGAATATAAATATAGTACATTTGTTTACACACAACACCGGGTGACGTCACTCACCTCACCAGAACGCCCAGCGTCTTGTACCTCCTTTTAAACAAAGTGAACTGAAACAACGTCAACCCATTTCGATCTGTCACGCCTTTATCCGCGCCAACCTCTATCAGCCTCTCGACCAGGCGCGGGGAGTCGACCAGGATGGCGTGGTGAAGGGCGCGGTGGTGATGACGCGTGTCTTGGGCCTCTACGTTCGCCCCCGCGTCTATCAGAAAGTTGGTGGCCTCCAGCTGGTCGTTCTCTACGGCTATGTGGAGGGGCGTGTGACCTCCCGGGTCCTGTAGGAGGTACGGTGTTGAGTAGCCACCTAGCACATTCACTTACAAAGTGCTGAAATTATCAGAGATCCACACAGACGAGTTATTATCCCTTTAAATATCAGAATCTAAAAATCATTGATTAAATACTGAAGAACAGTAGTAATTCTTCTGGTGTCAGTCCGCCAGCCAATCGGCTGCCTCGCTACAAACTGACCCTAGGCCTCAGTTACAGGGTTCGAGTAAATAGATTATAGTTCCTCACCTAGAACTTCAACTGGTACATACACCTTCATCTGGCACCTCAGCCCTCACCTGAGAGTCTACGGAGGCCCCACGAGCAAGCAACAGGCGGATACACTCGAGACAGTTCACACTGGCAGCAGCGTGTAGGAGGGGAGTGCCGTCAGGTGGGGCCATGTCCCCCCCAGCGTCCAGTAACAGCTCCAGCAGAGACCAACACACTCGTTCCTGTACCATGACACACCTCCTGTTAGTCTAGCTGATGTTACAATGTATTGCTGCCTTTCAACAATTAAGTCCTTTCAGAGTGCATACTAGATATGACGGAGAAATTCTTAAGAAAGGAAAAAAGTATCGCACTCGTAGTGATAAACGTACCTTCCCACGCTGCCTGGCGAGTATGGCGGCGTGCATGGGAGTGTTGCCGGAGTGGTCAGTGATGTTTACTTCAGCTCCGGCACTCAGCAACAGCTCAGTCGCCTCTCTCAAGCTACTTTTGGCGGACAGGTGCAGAAGCGTCCGTCCCTCCTAGAATTATAACGTTATTGTGGGGTTGTTCCAAATTGGAATCACCTGAAAATTAGACACCCCACCTTAATGAGCCTGAACATTAACCATCCTAAAGGTACAATACCCGGACGATTAGTTTAGCATAACGGTTGATTAATCTTTAGATGAAACAACCTCGGCTGTCTCATCTATAAATGAAATAAACTGGAGGTGAAATAAATTAGGGTGTCTAATCTTCAGGTCATACCCAATTAGCTTATAACTTTAAATAAATAGCACAATATAGCACAGCAATAATCAACAATTTGTACACACGATCGAAAAAGTATCTGTGAACATTGTGTCCGACGATATTGATCACCACACCTTTGCCGCCACTAACCGAGCTACATTGTTCGAAGGATTAATCTATTTCCTTCTCACTGTGCAGATTATTTCACGTCAAATGTGGACAGATACTTTTTTGATCGTGTATACACAAGCTTTGGGTACCAGTCGTTCAGGACACAACAGCCCATGTATAAAATAAAGAAAATTTGAAAAGTTGATGGGATACCACCTGAAAGTTTCCTTTTGATGAAAGATAATTGCTTTGAAATTTTCTGGTAGACTGGGGTTGATTTAGGGGTCGCTTACCAATATAGGTATTAAAACAAATAAAATTGTTATTTAATATATTTGTTCAGATGCTCTTCCGAAACTGTTATGTACTGGTGCATAACTCTTAATGCTTACAATAGTAAAGATTCTATTATGGTATTACGGAGACTATTTGTGCAGGAGTTTTCGCACGAGTGTGGCAGCTGCTTGTAGCTGTCTTTATCATCCCATTCCACAACTGTTGTGAATAAGCTGCGGGAGGGAGCGAGTTCAGTTAGTGCAGCAGGAAATTTGCACAAGGTGAGGTCCACGCTGGTCGGACAACATAATCACAAGTTGTTGCATTAAATGTGGTGCAGAGACGATCGCTAAACAAAGACGGTGTGGCTGACCTATACCATGAGTGCTGCAACAACCTCTTGGACCCTGTTTACCGGATTTGCTTGTCATCGTACATCAACAGACGATTGTGAAGGTCATTATCATTCAGCGGTGATCAATAACAGACAAACTAGTAAACCAGGACTTGACGTAGATGCCAATGTTGTCCTCGTGTCCTTGAGGCAGCAGGTCAATCTCCAGGCAGTAGATTACCTTTGCCATTCATCATAACCGGTGGATGGCTCCAGGTCACCTGATGCTACTGAAGCTGCAACTGCCAAACCAGTGCAGCGACCTGCAAGTTGCGAGAATTCTGGGTAGTCCTCCAGTGGCAGTTTATTACTGTTGGTCAGTTGCTGAGTTATGAATACCCTGACAATGGTTGGCACATCAATCAAAAGGTGTTGCTCTTGGTTGAGAATCGTGAAGTTTTTACCAAGCATCCTTAAACCTCTTGAAGACTTGAATGTAAAGTCCAGAAGATAGGCCGAAGCAGATCCTTAAGGCATCCAACATATGTTGTCGACAAGTCACCCAAAGAAGTGGCCGTCCCAAGAGGCCAACAAGCTCTAGAGTGAGTTCCAGTGTTCGCAACAGTTGTATCGAAACACATGTGAATAGTTTCAACTTTTGCTCGCCATTGTTCCAATAGTTGAAACAGAGCCTCTGCAGCAACCTTTCTCCCCCCTAACAACTGTGTCACCTCCCTGGTTGCATCAGTGGCAACATCGCAGAGGTTAACGGCTACGCGCTCAACAGATGAGAATGTGGCCCAGCGAAATATACTTGGCACATCATCTTGACACTTTCTTTTCGTAACTTCTGGTGATAGAGAGTCAGCCCGAGGCACAGTAGCCCACCCCAATTATTCCAAACATTTTCACAGTTTTCATCTTTCATCAAAAGGAAACTTTGTAGGGTGGGCACTTGTACTGACTGTATACATCAGGTGGGATACTTTCTGCACTATGAAACAAACGGAAACTGCATTTATACATATAACCCCATCTGTATGTTTGTTACACACACACACACACACCTTGTCGCCCATCTTGAGTGAGCGGCGACCTTCCCACGGGTTGTCTATGAGCGGCTGAAGCAGCAACTGTGAAAGAAAGATATAATAATAATAATGATAATAATATTGTATTGAAAATACATTAGCAGCCATAAGTGGAAAACATACAAAAGAAAAAAGTGGTACATATTTCTACTTATAATAAATGGGCGGGTCTGCTTGTTGGTCCGTGAGTCTATCTGTTCCAGCCATAGTTCCTGAAAGTTATACACACATTACTATTGTCAATAGGGAAAATCTTGTCTAACAAATCTGCTAAGGTTTTTTGGAAAGTCTTCGAGGTAGTAGATAATGACGAAAATTACGATGTTATTTACTTAGACTTTAGTAAAGCGTTTGACAATGTACCACATCAGAGGCTTCTGAGAAAAGTTAAGGCTCATGGTATCGAGGGGATAAAATCATGGCTCACCGATAGAACGCAGAGGGTCAGCGTAGATGGTGTTAAATCTGAGTGGGGCTGTGTAACCAGTGGGGTTCCCTAGGGGTCAGTACTAGGCCCACTCTTGTTCATAATCTACATAAATGATCTAGATACTGGGATCAGCAGTGACATAAGCAAGTTTGCGGATGACACCAAAATGGGGCGGCAGATTAATTCAGGGCAGGATACAAAATAAACTTCAGGAGTGGTCAGAAAAATGGCAAATGATATTCAACACCAGCAAGTGCAGCGTACTTAATATTGGAGGAACAAATTCTGTCAATGTATTCAGCCATAGCAACATCAACCTACAGAAGTCGACTTGTGAAAGAGACTTAGGGGTACTTGTAAACACGGACCTACGGCCTAGAAAACAGTGCGTTAATGTTCGAAACAAGGCAAACAGAGTATTGGTTTTATATCTAGAAGTGTAAGTAATAAGAGTGCGGAGGTCATATTGCAACTTTATCTTGCACTAGTCAGGCTGCACCTCGATTATGCGGTTCAGTTCTGGTGCCCCTATTATAGAATAGATATCAATTTACTGGAGTCGGTGCAGCGAAGAATGACGAAAATGATTCCGGGACTTAGAAACCTTCCGTATCAAGATAGATTAAAGAAACTAAAGTTGCATTCTCTAGAAAGACGAAGAGTGCGGGGAGATATGATAGAAGTATTTAAGTGGGTGAAAGGAATCAATAAATGAGATATAGATAAAGTTCTTATAATATCCGAGCAGGATAGGACGTTCACGTCCGCGATGTATACATGACCCGCTCACGCAGTGTTGTTGTATGAATCCATTGCTAAGTACAGGTTACTTTGGGTGTGTAATTTGTCCGAGAATTCATGTGTATAATCTCCTCAATGCTATGTATGTTTAGAGCTAGCAAGAGTATGAGGTAAGCCACTTGTTCTTTGCAATTTGTAACCAAAGTAGCTCTCCAGGAATTTAGTTGTGGGGCTACTACAGAGTCCTATTACTATTTACAAGCTACTTATTCAGGTAACCTGTTTGGTGGATGCTCCATTGTACTATAGGTGTGATCACAGTGTTGGATGGTTTTGTGACAAATGCACAATTTTGTCTGTATACTGGAAATGTATTGTACCTTACTGGGAAGTACCATGGGTGGAGCCATGAAGGCGATCCGTGCAGTTTGAATAAAGGAAGTGTATTACTTTATACACTTTTATCCTCTTCACCACTGATCGGCTCGTTAGCCGCTTGGGCGATCGGTCACGTCTCTGTCACGCACTGTTGGCAAGTACTGGGCATGCACTGGCTCCTGAATGTACCTGAACCCGCTCCAGTGTTGGTCAAGTCTTGTCTTGAAAGAGCTCACACTCGGTGCCGTCACAACACTCTCTGGTAGATTGTTCCAAGAGTTCACAACTCTCACTCCGAAAAAGTTTGCCCTCACAGTTTTCTGGACTTGCGGCTTCTTCAATCTTGTGGGGCGAGCGTCCGCCAACTCCAAGTAAGGACACTCGACTGCGTAGTGCCACTTGAGATGCTTATACACCTCAATTAGGTCGCCCCTTGCCCGTCTGTAGTATAATCTAGGCAAGTTCAGGCGCTCCAATCTCTCAGGGTAGTTGAGGTGCCGAAGTGCAGGCACCAGTCTGGTGGCCCTCCTTTGAACATTTGGTACTCCAGTGTACGAGGTATCAGAGGAGTGTGGTATCCTGTTTAAAAGATACACCAAGTGATGGTGGCTGCGAGAGATGTACTGTACCTTGTTGAGAAGTACACGAGTGTTACTCGTGGTACTTGTGTGTACTGGGAGTAGTCAGAAGTCTAGGATTTTTGTAATAAACCTTTTTTATTTTATGTTTGGGGTATGATTTCCCTACAGTGACCACCTTTATTTTCTTCTCCATATCTTGGCACCATTATTACAGTTCCACGGGTCCTCCATGGGTCTTACCCTCGAGCGATGCTACCACAGGTCAGAGTTAAGGCAGAGAGGGTACAGTGAAAAAGGTATAAGTAAGGATGGTTACCACCGTTACAACATAACTCAATTTACGTCGCACAATTAAACTGTATTTGATGTAGGTAAATTTATTTTTTAAATAGAAGTTATGACCATGAGATATATATTTCAGTTAGTCCCAATTATTCTCTGACTCATTACCAAACCATTTTCTCTCATATCTTGAATGGATAACTATATAAAATCTAAATTTTCTCTTTAAACTGTATTACTAAAATTTTATGTTACGAATTTTGTACCTAGCAGAAAAATAAATAAATAAATAATATAAAAGTCCCAGGTAGCTTTGTAAAACTCTATTAAAATTATTTAGTGTGTATTTGTGAGAAAGGCGCTAGAACCTTGAGAATATCAAGAGAGTTGGCGACAGTGGCAAGATGTAAGGGGGTTCTTCCTCTTCTTTTCTCGGTGGCCTCGGTCTCCGCACCAGCCGCCAGCAAAGTTGCCACCACCTCCACCTCCCCTGACTCTACGGCGCAGTGTAAGGGTGTTCTCATGTCTGAATCTGTACGGTTTGCTTGGCATCCTGGAATAGATAATAAGTCCCGAATTCTCATTGATTCGTTACGTAAGGTGATATGATAATTATTTAATAATTAATATTGGATAAATATTCGTTCAATTATCCTAATATGCATAATGAAATGATTTTTAGAATAATCACGTACACTTTATGTGGAGTAAAATCAGGACAGGTGACGCACTATGGGACAGAATTTTACGCACCGTGTTGTAAGAGAAGGTTGACGGCAGCGAGGTTGCCTCTCCCGGCTGCCAGGTGGAGGGGCGTTTGTTCGCGGTGGTCGAGGATGTCCACGTCCAGCTCCCCCTCACCCAGGAGCTTCATTATTGTCTCTACATCCCCGTCAGCGGCTGCCGCGTGCAGGCTGGCCTTCTGAAGATGTCCCTGCAACATAAGCATGAAATAATCTCTCCAAATATCAATACTGTACTGTAAACTTATTTTCCTCTCCTACCTATTTATACATAGATATTTATTTAACCGTAATCTATATATTGTCACTTATAGTTATTCATGAAGTGGTCTATACGTATTGTTACTGTACATTCATACTGATGTACACTGATGCTTCTATTGTTTATCTAGGGAAGATGAGGTTAATAGCTATTTTTCAACAGTTTATTTGTTATTTAACTTAGACGAATTATTTGATTTTTACGTCATACTTATTATTTGATCTTGTCACTTTTGTTCATTTGTTATTCGTATTATGCTCATTATCTTTACTCGGTTATCATCCACTTGTTATTATAATTATACACGTCTGTAGACAGAATATTTTCATTTATAAGAATCCACATACATGTAATAGGTTCTCCTGCATTGTACTGACTGACACGGAACTTACTGAGCTTAAATTTAGAGATGCCGCTTCAGTACGGCCTGGAGAATTGATGCAAGAGTCCAAATGTGAAAAGGTTGTGGTAGAATTATAAAGGTGTAAAACATATGAAAGAATTGTCTGACAGCGATGATAAATAGTAAATATTTTTCTCTCCTGTGGGGCTGATTTTTATGCAGTGCTCACATTTTGCACCGTATATTAGTTAAGTCAAAGGTCTTGTTATTTTTACTACTGTTAGTGTATATAATGTTAATGAAGACATGAAAATACAACTGTGTCTATCATAACATTTTTGTATGTCTTGAAGCTAATTATATAGGGATTATTATAGGCTGATAATTAATATAGCTGCCGACGCTACTAGGATTATCTTACTAACCCGTTTTCTTTGGTGGCTGAGGTGCAACTGAAGAAATTTACCTCCATTTTTTTTTTTTTTTTTTTGCTAGAGATGAATTCAGAATAAAGTGATTAGGTGTCTAGAGGTCTGCAAGTTAACAGGATAGAGGTATAATCATATTTTTTTTTATTAAGTTTGAGGAAATTAGTTTTACGGAAGCAATTACCTTCGAGGAATTTCTTCTGGTGAATATATAAATATGAAGCTTAGATCACCAGTCGGCAGTGTTAGGGCTTAGGTAAGTGATGTGAGTAGACGCACAGAGAGTAAAGCGTTAGCTGTCACACCCACATACTGTCGCACCTTCCGCCGCCTCACTCTATCATACAGAGGCGTCAGCTCCCGAATGTCAACAACTGAAGTTCCTCTGGAGCCGTGAATGCTGCCCGGGGGTGTCGACACTTCTCTTGTACTGTCAGCTCTTCCTGGCGTTGCTTCCTCTCTTGTCGTATCAGCTGTCCCTGTCGTTGACACATCTTTCCCATTGTTACCTCTTACCGGAGTTGTCACATATCTTGTACTGTCTCTTCTCACTGGCGTTTCCACATCTCTCAAGATATCAGATCTCAATGGTGTCGTCACGTCACTTGTCACCAGCATTGTAATGTCTTTTTGAGAGTTAGCTCTCATAGGTGTTGCCACGTCTCTTCTAATATCTCTTCTTAGTGGTGTTGCCATGTCTCTTATAGTGTCAGTTCTTGCCGCTAATACCACATCTCTTGGAATGTCAGATCTCAACGGCATTGTCATGTCTCTTGAAGTATCAGATCTCAGAAGTGGTGCCACATCTCCTGTAGTGTTCTCTCTTATCGGTGGTGCCACATCTCTTGTAGTGTCCCTTCTTATCGATGGTGCCACGCTTCCAGAAGTATCGGCTCTTGACACGACCGTCACGTTTCCAGCAGTGTCCACCACAAACGTACTGTTTGCTCGAAACAATGTTGTCACGTATCCTTTAGTGTCAACTGCATATATTACTGCTGAATTCTCTGAAGTGTTAACTTGTGACACTGGTGATGCTTTTCTTTCAGTGTCAACTGCCGACAGTGTTGTCATACTCTCTGTATTATCAGTTCCCAGCGATGTTGTCACTTCTCCTGCAGCGTCAGAGTTAACCCTCGTTACGTCTGTAGCCTCAGAAGGGTCGCCCTGCCACGTCTGCCGCCGGTCAACAGCCGACTCTCGCTCATACTGACGCTGATACGATAATTTCACCTGTAATGTGACGACGTCTGGTGTAAGGTAGTGGACGGGAGCTGTTTGTTTAATATAAAGGATTATGATGTCACAACTTTCATTCACCATAATCAGATGGGATGGGGAAATGGGACATTTATATTAGTTATCTGGTAATTTATTTTATTGGGCCTTTTTCCCCTTTATAGCTGCCCAAATATATATTTTGTTTCTATGTCAAGTTTCACATGAAGCAAAGCATCCTATGTGGAGTCAGACTTGCTGTGTTAGTGCTACAACAGGGGACCAGTGTACGAGTGTTATTGTTCCTGAAGCATTAAACTGAACGAACAGACTAAACCTAAAATAAATCAAATTAATCTTCACAACATTGGCCAGATAGAGTTCCAATAGTAAGTTAGAACTTCAATGGCCACTTGACCGAGTTTAACCTGTGGATGTGTGATGCAAAGTTGGCATTATCGACGCCCTGGTCTTAGCTTGGCGTTAGTCATTCGTTATTTTAACAGCGTTGGCAAGGAGCCTTATTTTGTCTTATAAATATGACGTTAATTTTGCGAGTTTTCGCTCTATTTATGAAGATATGGGATCAGGCCAGTAGCCAGTATCCTTGATTAGAGAGGGGGGGGGTGAATATATATATTTTTTTTTTGGGGGGGGGATCAGGCTTGTACTGAATGGACCAATTGTGCGACTTAATTGATTTTGGCACTGTTTGCTTTTCTGGCAACCTTGAGGACAGGAAGTGGATGATGCAGTCAGAACTCAGGTATTACATCACCCTACTTACTGGAGTGCATCAATTCATTCCTGGAAGTCATCAGTCCGCACGTGCCCCACTCCTCTCACAAGTCTCTTTTCCGTGTTTACTTTTGACATCGATGATTTTTTAGCCAAATTTGATCAAAGATTCCTCGTGAACAGTGCAGATAACTTTTGTTAGTTTGTGGAGAATTGACTTGTGTATCAGAAAAGCGTGCTGTAACTGCCTTGATTAGGAGGATTGAAGATCGGGACAAGAGCTGGGCCCTTCACATATGCTGCAATACTTGTGCAAGGAATCTTCGTTGGTAGTTGAATCGGAAAAGGAAAGCTATACTTTTTGCAGTGCCAATGGTGTGGAGGGAGCCAACAGATCACATAGGCAATTGCTACTACTGCATGGAGCCTCCAGTTAGAAAAGGTATTTGCAAGAAGAAAAAGTGGACTTTACAATAGGCCAGTACACCATCTGCTATACTCCCGCTACACAACACACTACATATATTGTTTGTCACTACTCATCTTTTGTGTGTATATTAATTATTACTATTATCATTACTATTATATTATTTTATTTATTATGAAATTTTATTATTATTATTATTATTATTATTATTATTATATTTTCGCCCCCCAGGCCTTGTTGTGGGTCATTGACCTGTGCCCGGGTGGGCTAATGCCCGTAAAAAAAAAATTAACAATAATAAAAATCTAGGTGCTAAGCCATTGTACTCAAGGGGATAAACCACCGTACTCAAGGGGATAAACCACCGTACTCAAGGGGATAAACCACCGTACTCAAAAGTGTTACAAACTTATTTTCATAACATTAAAAAACACTGAATTGTATCAATATATTTTTTCTCATAATGCTTCAACCATTTCCTGATACATTACAACACGGAACTATTCGAACCATATACAGATAACAATTAATATTTAGGTAAAAATTAAGGCCGAAACTCCTGTACTAATATAAAGTAACTTCAACTTTATTGACTGTCTTGAGGTAAGACGCCACCACAACCTGCATGGTGGGCCCCCCTCCCCTCCCCCCTACTGCTGTTTTTAGAAGCTCGCGGGCACCTGACGAACCTCTCCTGTTTTAGCTGTGGAGAAGACTTTTAGCTCTGATTTGGATGTGTGTGTGTGTGTGTGTGTTTGTGTTTTAGAAGAAGGAAATTGTCTACGCATATATTTTGGCAGGGAGGTTGGTTGATACGCTGGGTCAAAACTTATCATTGTTTAGTTCGCGAGGTTATTATTTAATGTTGAGGGTGAATACACGGGTTTAAACTTCTCCCAGAAGTTAGCGCACGGGTTAAGTTTCCAATTCTATAACTTTGTATAATTTGTAATGCTAAACGTTTTGTACTAGCGTAAATAGATACTTGAAAGTACTGTATAGGTAGGCTTGCCGATGGCGCCAAGTTATTTCGAGAAATCAAGAACCAAGCGGACTGTGAAGAGCTGCAGAAGGACCTCTGTGGGCTCCAGGAATGGTCGAAGAAATGGCTGCCGAGATGTCACGAAGTGTAAGAGGATGCACCTGGGGCCTACCAACGTTAAGGGGGCGTATCATATGTCCCAACGGGATGAAGAAACTGCACTATTTAAGACTGAATATGAGAAGGACCTCGGTGTGTATGTTGCCAATGAGCTGAAGTTCTCGGGCCATTGTGAGAAGAAGGTAAATCAGGCAAAAATTATTGGTTCTTATAAGAAAGTCGTTCAGATATCTAGACGGTCCGTGCCTCGTAACGATCTTCAAGAGTGAAGTGCTTCCCCATCTGGAGTACTGTCACCCCGTCTGGTCCCCGAGATATGCTAGGGACTGTCAGTTGGTTGAAAATGTTCAAAGGAGGGCCACCAGACTGGTGCCTGCCCTTTGGCACCTCAACTACCCTGAGAGATTGGAGCGCCTGAATTTGCCTAGCTTATACTACAGACGGGCAAGGGGGGGACCTAGTTGAGGTGTATAAGCATCTCAAGGGACACTACGCAGTTGAGTGTCCTTACTTGGAGCTGGTGGACGGTCGCCCCACAAGGGGTCACAGTTCAAGATTGAAGAAACCGCAAGTCCAGAAAACTGTGAGGGCAAACTTTTTCGGAGTGAGAGTTGTAAACTCTTGGAACAATCTACCAGAGAGTGTTGTGACGGCACCGAGTGTGAGCTCTTTCAAGACAAGACTTGACCAACACTGGAGCGGGTTCAGGTACATTCAGGAGCCGGTGCATGCCCAGTACTTGCCAACAGTGCGTGACAGATACGTGACCAATCGCCCAAGCGACTAACGAGCCGATCAGTAGTGAAGAGGATAAAAGTAAATACAGTACTATGAATGTTTGGGTTACCAAAAATATCCAACTGCGGAAAATATTTACGGTCTTATTTCCAAAGATATTTTATTTCTTAATATCGAAAACTAATACCTTAATACTTAATATTACATCTAACTACCTAAAGTCAGACCCAAGTCCCTAAAAGCATACCTAAAATAATTCCTAAACACAAACAATAGCAAAAGTAGAGAAATGTTATTAAGTCCGTATTAACCCAGGGCAAAAATATAATTACAATATCATCAATGTGTTTGTTGTTGTTTTAAGGGGTTTAATTAATCACGGTTTATCAGGTTTGTTTATTTATCTTACCCTCATACGCTTCTAAACCAGAGTATACGTGTTGACTTAGATGTGTGCGCAGTAAAATACAGTATTTTATTTTCGAACTGATACCAATCTGAGACACAATTGGATGCAGTTCAGGCTACTGAAGGAAGATGATTACGATAATGATGAGAACACTACAATAACAATGATAATAATTAAAATAGTAATGGTAATATTACGATAATTATGATAATTATAATAGTAATGATAATATAACACTATTAATGATCACAATATAGTAATAATACAAATAACGGAACGTGGCATACTGGTAGTAGGTTAAACAAACACGCTCCCTGACCTTGGAGGAGACCTGCTGGAGGGAGCCAAAGGGTGAATGTAGTTCTTCGTCATTGCCTTCGTCTGCGTGAGTAAGTTGAGAAGTTATCGTTGTTCTCGACTGATTCTTCAGCATCTCCTCTCTGGTACTCCACATACTGTAAGAACCAAGGAACGTCTTTAAATAATAATAAATGTCTGTCTGTCTGTCTGTCTCATCTATAGCCAACCTTTACAATACGGATGCTCAGCATTCTTGGCTAGCCCTTGGTTGTCAAGTTATTAAAGGAGGGGGGGATAGAGGGATGGAATGAGGCAATGGGTGGAGGGAAAAGTGGAGGATAGAGAAAGAGGATATGAGAGGAAAGAAGAAGGAATGGAGGTAAGGAATGGAGGTAAGGGGTGGGGGGATAAAGGGATGGTTCTTTGTGATAGTTTGTCTCTCTCCCATGGCAGACAGTGATGGCGTTCTTTCTCTCTCCCATGGCAGACAGTGATGGCGTTCTTTCTCTCTCCCACGGCAGACAGTGATGGCGTTCTTTCTCTCTCCCACGGCAGACAGTGATGGCGTTCTTTCTCTCTCCCACGGCAGACAGTGATGACGTTCTCTCTCTCTCTCTCTCTCACCTTTTTATTTAAACAGTTGATTACATGGGGAGTGTCGCTCGCCATCTAGAGCGGCCATCTTGACCTGTTGGGTAGTCATCTTCCCGACGTCTGGTATGGTCGCCGTCAAGAGGTTCCACAGTCGTGAAACTCTGGCCATGAAGGTCCTCTGGCGCTGACTGGCTCGTGACCTCCACCAGCTGGACGCTCGACAGCATCCTTCTTGAGCTTCTCTGCGCAGCTCGTAGGGGCAGCCCGAGTCCCGCCATCAGCTGAAACACTTCTTGGACCGGGGTCTTGTGGAGCACCGACAGGGCCGCCACATCTCTCCGGTGCCCCAGAGAGTCCACGGTGGTGACGATGTCATAGAGAGGGTGTGAGGCATCAGTCGCAGGACTCACTTCTGTATCTTGTCCAGTTTTCCAATGTGGGAAGGAGCGCTGGACATCCACGACAGGAAGAAGTACTCTAAATAAGGCCTTATGTGATCCTTATAGAGTGTCAGGATCTCACTGTGGTCAAGGAATCTAGTGAACCTTCTCAGGGCAGATACCCTGAGTGAGGCCAGTTTTTGAGGTGTTTGTCCAGCCTCAAATGTTTGTTAAACTCCACTCCGAGGATTGTTATGTAATCCAGGAGGGGCAGAGACCCCCACCCCCCCCAAGAGGATTCTTTTCTTCACGCCCTGGGCGGCCGCCGGGGAGCGGAATATCACCATCGCTTGTGTTTCCTGATGGACAAAATTTACCTGCCAGAGTGTACCCCCCCCCCCCCCCTAACCTAACCCTCCACACCTACCCTAACCTAACCTAAAACTATAGTGGGAGAGACAACCGTTGACGTCACGGAAGGCCTTGACCAATCACCGCACTCCATGCCCGCAAATAAGTGGACTCTGCCAAATCGCTGGCAGTCCGTAGTAACACATTCCATCTGTCAGAACACCATCTGTCAAGACCGTCAAGAGACAGACAGAGAGCGAGAGACAGACAGGTGGAGAGGATAAAAATAGATTGACAGATAGATGGATAGCGACAGACAAACTGACATATAGACAGGCACGTTGAGAGAGAGAGGGTTAAAATTATATAATAGAGATAATGTGACGACACTGTCCCCTCCTCACTCCACCACTCGCTCCAACTGGACACCTGGAGAAGAAACTGCCTCACGGAGCTACTTGACCCCAGTGACCACCGTGTCAGAACCAGGTATCGAGGCAAGTGTATCTACCTGATTGACTTGTCTCTTCTCTGCGGCCTTCGGTGTTCCTCTGCTCCCGGGGTGTGGACGACGAATTGTATTAAGGACTACTGCTGGTGGTGGTGTGATGGTAGTGGACTACAGCGGTAATTCCTGGTTCCTTGTAGTTGGCCATCTCAACCTCGACTTGCTACCTGAGCTGACAATTCTATCAGGTTTTTGTGTTGTATATAGTTTGTATATTTGGTGTATAAAGTAAGAATAATTGGGTGTTATTCTGGTGAGTCTTGATAAATGCTCAGTTACCTTTGTGTTAATAATTCCACATTTTGTTTTACTTGTGTTATTTAATGGACCTAATTAACTAACTTAATACTTAATATAAATGTTATTAAATTACTTAGTTTACATGATAATCTTATCCCTTTCATAACGTAAATTTGTCTGTCACAACCAGTGATTCGTGTGTGTGTGTGCTCCTTACTTGCTCCATCCATAAAACAAAGTAATGACCATATTAGGCTATGAGTGTATCTGTCTGTCCGTATATCTTGGTCAAAACACGCTTTTTTGTTAGGTATATACAGCATGGTGGTAATTACAATATACTCCATTTTAACAATACGATAATAATGGTCTAGATTACCTACCTGTGATTTCTCTCAGTGCTTCGTGACACATGTAAATTTAGAACTATAATAAAGTGTATCACCCACCACAGCACGACCTCACCCTACCACGTCAAACACCACACTGAACCTCTTAAAGCTCTCATACCCTACCCCTACCATGATGCCGGTGAGTCATCAACACATATCTCACCCCAGCTGCCAAGACATAGTATTAAAAAAAAACATATGCTGTACCTCACTGATGAGACGAGATTTTTGGGATGGCTAATGTACTCATATTTGACCGAATATGTATGTTGAACGAATTTCTATTCATAACTTTTGGATTAAGGACAAATTATGGACGATGGTTAACCAGTGTGTGTGTGTGTGTGTGTGTGTGTCTGTCTGTGTGTGTGTACGAACATATTGGCACCAAATATAGTCAAACTTTCTATCGTTGCCAGACATTAAAGCGATAAAAAAATGCTGATATTTGCCAGTTCTCTTCAATAAAATTCATTAAAGTATCAATTAAAAACTAGTTAATACTTTATATAAAAAATATTGATAACCGATATAGATTAGTGTGACTTGAAGAAAACGAGGAAGTGAAAGAGTTAGAGGCTGCGGTGGACGAGTCTTTTGGGCGACAAATTTAGTCATTGCAGACGTCGACGGCTGCCAGCACACTGTTAATGACATCTATCTTAAGTATGGTATTTTTTTACCTCGTGGCCGGCATATCCACTTAGCAAGCATGAAATTATACACACTAAGACGTCTGCTACTGAATAAACAAGCGCAAGTTGACACATATAAGGTGGCTCCAACTTAGAAATTAATTTATACGTTAGTGAGTGACCGAGCGTACATAGGCCTACATAATAATTATAAAGGTGGACGGAAATAAAGTACACAGGAAAAAAAGGTCACATGACTTGTACACATTGACAATAATATATATATGATGGCATTGCATGTAGGTTAGGTTAGCTTAGGTTAGGTTTTTCCGTGCATTTTGTGACTTTTTTCCTGGATTTCATATAAAGCCGTTGCTATAGATACTAAAATACAAATCAATTTACTATCTAGCGTTGATAATAAATGATGTGACCGTAGACGTTTCATACTTATTAACTGGTGTATTTAACTCCGTGAGGGCGGGAGGATGGTCACGTTATTCATGTTTTAAAAGTTTTCGTCTACACTGGCCAGTAGGTGGACTCAGGACCCCAAACTCTTTTTATTTTTTGGCCACTTTTCCCGTTTTATTTATTTTATATTTATTGTTTAGTTGTCATTATTGCCGGAAGGGGAGAGAGAGTTTGTCGCCTTAAGTCTGCAGTGAACATGGCGGAGATGGAGGAGGGGGAGGAGGGAGCCTTGTTGCTTCACCCACCTAAAATTTCTAGACCCGTCTCGCCATACAGTGGGGGTCGGGGCTTGTTGTCTTTTCATGGACTGCCTTCACTTCTGGGTCCAGCTCTCCATTAATATTTACTGGAGAACCGGGTCTGTGTATAACATGAATCCTCTTAACGTCACACACACAAGGCTGGTCACGATATGGGCTACAACTCCTACCTCAAGCAAGATGTTGAGGTGCGGTTAAGTGAGGTGCCGTTGAGGTGCGGTTAAGTGAGGTGCCGTTAGGTTAAGGCAGCTGTGGTGTTTACTGTTAACTACGCGGGTTATGACAGGCATCCACCAGGGACTGTACCATACACTTTATATTCAATTGAATCTTTAAACTTTAACTTGAGGCGACCGATACGTACAGCTCTTACCTCACACCTCTTAATGTGTTTGTTTGCCCACAGTGACGGCTGGCCCACAGTGACGGCTGGCCCACAATGACGGCTGGACCACGGCTTCTTGATAAGTTCAAGACAGCTTTTGAACGTATTAGGTCTGAGGGAGGGATCCATATCATATGTGGTGTCCTCCCTAGGAGAGTTGGCAGTGAATGGTTGTCAAGGGCAGTTGGTGTCAACGGCCGTCTTGACAGATATTGCAAGTCAATATCAGTCCCATTCATTAACAACTAAGCTGTTGCAGTATGACATGCTTTTTCTCAGCTGACACTGAACCCCATGCTGGGTTGCACAGCAGTGGTGTCACCAGTGTGCCCTGGTAGTGCCCGACAATCACTCCCTCACCTGCCGAGACCCTCTGCATGCTACCCTCACCTAGTTGGAAGAAACATAAGACCAGTACATAAAACCAGTCATAAATAAGACAAATATATATCTGAGAGTATCAGAAATAGAAAAAAATCATCTGAGCATGCTTGAAAACATACATATCGACACTAAGATCATTTAGGTTGACCAACTACATCAATTTCTATAAAAAAAATCATCTTTCGAAGGTCAATTTGGCAGCCATCTTGAAAAAATGGCCGCCATCTTGGATTTCCAAATGGCCACTGAGGCAGACTTGACCAGACTAATAACCATTAGAGAACTACCATGCCACATTTGGTGCTTGTGTCACCATTTGCAGGATTCTCTTGAAAAATTGCATTAAGCTTCCCCTCTATAATATCTCATATCATTGGATCATTTAGCTGGATGATCACATACTCGATTCCCAGTGACAGCAAAGTAGTAGTGTGTGTGTGTGTGTGTGTGTGTGTGTGTGTCTCATTCGTGAATCAACCCATCAGAGGCTGTTTATCCGGTGCTACATACCAGTTGCTTATGGAACAGGCAGCAGGAACCAGTTTACCGTACACACACACACACACCTGTGGCGTCCCCCAAGGCACCAAGATGGGACCACTCTGCTTCCTTATGCTCATCAATGATGCCCTAAGAGAAACCCCTGCTCGCTGGAAATATGTCGACGATTCCACCATTGGGATCAGCGTCAACAAATCTGCTCCCAACTATACCGCCCATCAGGATTTATTGAACAGTCTCCAAAACTAGGCCACCAACGACCATGTCACCATCAACCATACCAAGACCATGGTTATGCACATCAACCTCTCCTCCGACATTGTCCCACCTCCTTCCATTACCCTAGGTCCGAACACACTCCAGGTTGTAGATTCCACGAAGCTCCTCGGCGTCACCATAGACAACAAACTAAATTGGAAACCACACGTCAGTGAAGTTGTCAAATCCTCCAGTTTCCGTCTCCACCTCCTCCGCCGACTCTAAGTCCCTCGGAGTTCCTGCACCCGAGCTCCTCAGTGTTTACACAACATTCATACTTCCCAAGCTCACCTATGCCTCCCCTACCTGGTCTTCCTCCCTAAATGCCACAACGTAAACACCTAGAAAAAGTGCAAAAGAAGGCATGCAAGATTATTCTTTCCCCTTCCTACTCCATATATCAAGAAGCGCTCAACACACTGACACTTTCGACTCTCACTGACCATCACCACGACCTCATCTGCAAATTTGGTAAGATGCTTCTACACCATCCTCGATACCGGCTCCTACTACCACCTGAGATCCCTAGCCCGAGAATTGCTGTTCGACACCACAACCGCATCCAGCCCATACGTGCACGAACTGATCGCTATAAGAACAGCCCAGTCCCAACCATTGTAAAAATTATCAATAACTTGTAATAAACCAGTGTATTCACTCCCAGTAAGCACTGCTCCTTACACTGTCACTATGTTGAAATGAACTGTAGTTTGAGCTTTTCCCCATCTAGTTATTATATGTCTTAATTGTATCACTTATGTTACTTGTATATTATTTGTAATTCGTAACCCATTCCCCAAATATGTAACTGTATATTTTCAGCCTTCTGGCTGCCAAGCTCTTTCAATAAACCGTTAATTATTATTATTATTATTATTATTATTACACACACACACACGCACACTGTTACGCCGTCTCTTAATTTACTTTAATATCCAGGTTCTAGGCGTAACCAAACAAAAAGTGAAATAAAATATACGAATAAAAATAAATAAAGTAATCCTTTAAGAATTTTATTGATTAAATATCAACACAATAAAGAGCCTCGTAGGCTGTCACAACAAATTGATTCACCATCGAAACTTTTAAGACACAAGTGATACAAAACATCGAAACCTCAAAAGAATAAAAATAAAGCATTGGATTACGTTAACACTGCATAAACATAAAAACTATCACTGAAATTAACTAACGTGAAACAACACTGAATTACTTGAATACAACTAAGCAAATACTGATGGACACAAACAGAGACATAAATAGGTACTCACATAGATATACCACATTGGTGGCGACAGGAACAACACAAATAAATTAAGTTTAAGTAACAAATGACACACAAAGGATGTGTACTGTATGACAACAGAACTGAACTAACTCAAGTCAGTTGGTGGGTCCTATATATAAGGTCGGCTCCCGCCACGCGACCCGCCGGTGGGTCGTTTAACGATGCAGATGGTCGTTAGAGAACAGAGAATGCTGGTTACAATACTAAATAAAGAAATAAGATGGGCTTGAACAAATAATGACAGTTAAAACCTTAACAGCACAGGGTAAGGTGACTAGATGATATAATAGTAAATATAACACATCATTACAGGAATAATATGGAACAACATTGAAGCATGTTATAAAAAAATAATAGAAAACTACGACACGGTCGTAACAACACACACACACACGCACACACACACACACACACACACACACACAGTTTGTAAACAAGCAAAGGTGACAGTATTTCCATTTTATTAAACATACTATAATATATATAACTAAAGTCCCCTTAATGCTATTAGCTTTAATATAGTTAAATTTTAATATATAAATAACGAAAGATGTTAAATATAATAAAAACGCCATTATTATTTAAAGAAATGTTGATGAAAACGAGATTGACATAGCGTTTATGTGATCCGGATTAAAGACATTGTTTTCTTCAGGGTTGAGGAAGAGTGTCAAAAAGTGTTGATATTTTCTCACCATTATTGTTGAAGTACATCATTAAGGTGAGTTACTCTACACCATAACCAACGAGTCGTTAAGTCTCTCACCAGTCACTTGAGGCTGATCCACACAGTCTTAATAATTATATAAACTTTATTTCAGGAATAAATTTATATTTTGTATATAAATGGAAAAGTTTAAATCACGGTGGTATTATAATATGAAGGATTTATCTTAAGTTATAGTGAGGACCTAGTGGCTTGGGTGTGTCCTACGGGGCTCTCATGTTAACCCTGTCCTCCTCATGTTATCATCACCAACTGATTTTAATAATATCTTCATTAATGGCCACAGTCACCTCAGTCAAGAGTGAGGATGTGTTAGGGCTTCAAGCAACACCACAACAATATTATTCACTCTAAGACCACCATAAAAAAAACCAGTAGACTCGAGGCACCACTTAACAATATTTTTAATGGTTCTGTTTATATAACATTACTCTAATGGGATTTTAAACAACTAAAGGTATAAACAATAATTTTTTTTTTACTCTGAATGCAAAATATAAAAATCTTCCTCACTTTCAAGCTGATAATGTACCTGTGCTATATACCACTAGCAGCCAAATATTAATAGGGTTCCAATAGTTTCATCAGATTTATGTTACATGAATAAATCGGACTGCCAATCACTTCTCGACTAGTATTTGGTGTCACGAAGTCACAAAAAATTTTTAAACTTAATTTAATCTGACTTAATAGATCGAGTGCATGTACCTTACCTGATCTAACCTAACCTAACTCAGATTAAATTAAGTTTACCAATTTTTTGTGACTTCGTGACACCAAATACTAGTCGAGAAGTGATTCACAGCCCGATTTATTCATGTAGGACCATTATTTGACTTCATTGCAGCTACATTTGGGTTCATTTGGGTAATTAGTCAGACCGCAGTTTTATGATCATTGCATTTATGTGTACAGTACTGTATGTAATTTTGCAATACAGTACAGGTAGAGTACTGTAGACCCTTGCCAACCACGGATTTCCCATCTGTGGATTATGGGTATCCACGGTTTTTACTCTATACAATTTCGCCAACTACGGCATTGAATTTTGAGTATCCGCGGATTAGTGTGGCGTCTCTATCCCTTGGTAGTCTAATGTATTCCTCTGTAAATGTGAAGATTGAATAAATATAATACAAATAAATAAGTGAGAAAAAAATGCTGCATTGCTATTTGTCAATCGTTTCACTAAGAATACGGTCAGGTGACTACAGGACAGTCTAACTTGGTGACCTGCCAAGTTCACACACACACACACACTCCCATGACCTTCATACGTATTTCTTATTTTATGGAAACATTGCAGTGTAAAATTTATATTACTATACTATTTAATTTATACATTATTAAGCTATTTACGAGTATGTGTACAGGGTATTTGATTGAAATTTAATTAAATATACAATGCAGGTATTGTTTAGTGAAAGAACAGGCAACTTATAGTATTTCCACGCTAATCTGGCCCATAAGCCACGCCCCTTTTCTATACTAATAACTGATTGGTTCATAGAATTCAAACTAAATGTGTTCACAATTGGTAAGCAGACCTGTTATTGTCTAAAATAATGTTAAGTGTCTGAACTATCAAAATTCAAATGATTTCAAGGCATTAGCACTTCAGAGAGGATGTTAGAAAATTTTAAATATTTATCATGAAAGGTCAATATAAATATGCACTTAGTTGGAAGTTCATCCGTAAAAAAAAATATATATATATTTACTTTATACATTACTTCAATGTTTGGCAACTATGGTTTCCGTCGCGACAATGTTCTCATTAGGCCGGTTCGGGGAGTGAAGTTGACAGACGCGCCGGGTGGGGTGGGGCGGGGATGGAAGGGTAAGGAGGGTGAGGTGGGGATTAGGACGGAGGAGGATGTAGGTTATAAGACATGTTAGGTTAAAGCAGATAATATAGACACAGCTTCTATCACTGAAACACAATGGGTACATGTAGTACTGACCGACGCTTAAAATGCAGACCGTTACAAATCACGGGAGACACTGACAAATTATATCAAGCATTGAACATATTCTAGGGGGAGTGTTATGCTAGTAAAAATTTGCACATACAAAAATGAGGCACAGACACTTGAGTTGTTAAGAGGAAACACTGGGACACTTTTCACGCTGTAGTACTCGGGGCTCCTTACCGCACACGGTTAAACGATACTCAAACTGAATTAAATAAAGGGAGAGACGTGCCAGGTGTAATGGCTCAGCGAGGGAGGGCGTGGGTTTAATGCCACCAGTATAACAAGTTAGGGGAATCTGCTTTTCAACAATTCTAAGTACAACTATTTATTAGTTAACTCAATAGCATGGACACATTACTAGACAATGACTCTCGGACACAAACGTGAAATAGATACACTTCCCACCATAAGTAACTCACCCTATGGATCACTCTGACAATGACTCACGTGTGACCTGAGGCAGGCCCAGAAGGTGGGGAATGTCTACAGGTGCTGCTGAAGAGAGTGCTGGACTAATTCTCCTGTGGGGGACTCTGCTAGCTAGGGGCTCGGTGCTGGGGAGGGAAGTCTCCCTGCCTACCTCAACTCATGACGAGCGTGACTCCTGTCTTCTTCTGAGTTCTGTCTCTTCCTGTCTGTCTTCATCTGTTTCTGTCTCTGGGAAGGTGCTGTCTGCCCCTTCCCTGTTCTAAATATGATAATGCTAATGATCTGTGGAAGGAGCTGCAGGCTCCTTATATTGGCGATGACAAGCCGGAAGATGTCGTCACTAATCTGGGTGTGTTTGGCCAGGTCACAGGTGTACACGGTCATGTCGCCAGGTTAGCTAATGATGCGGCGGTGAGAATTCTGGTTCATTGTGACCGTGACCTCTCTTGGGTTAGGTCTTAATCTCACTTAAATTATGAAGGATGGGTCAACTTACGAGGCTGTACACACCTGTGCTTCCAGTCACTGCTATATGTGCTGTTCTTCTCTGGGCTGTAAGCTGTGGTCTGATAAACAATTATTACACATGATGTCATGTTGTTGAGTGAGTCATGATGTCATGTTGTTGAGTGAGTCATGATGTCATGTTGTTAAGTGAATCATGATGTCATGTTGTTGAGTGAGTCATGATGTCATGTCAAAAAAAAATTATTCCTTTTTCTTTGTTTGATAAATTTAAATCTGTTCAAGTTAAAACACTGTGTCTATTTTGCAGCTATTCATCTGCTATCAACTTCTTTGATTGTACTAAAGGAAGCCAAAAGTGTGCAGAAATTAGTTGATACAATAATTAGCTGTGTTTATCCTGTGTATGTGTAGAGGTGAGTGTCAGTAAGCAGCTGATGATATACATTAATTTTTATATTTCAGTGAGCGGCCATCATGTGTAACCCAAGTGTTTGCCTTACAGTACGGTGCGCACACGAGGACAAAGTGAAGTTTGGTCATCCCGAAGTGGAGGTGGAGGAGCTGGGGGAGGGGGAGGAGGAGGAGGAGGAGGAGGGGGAGGAGGAAGAGGTGGAGGAGGTGGGGGTGGGAAGGGTTGCAGAGGAAGTGGTGTAGGGAAGGGGATGACCAAACCAAGCCACAGAGAACAAGTAAGTTGATGGTGTCACTGGAATAGCTTGTTAGACTAGTGCCATGTTAGGTGCTTCCGGTAGTTAGTGTACTGTTAGTTAGTCCACTTTGATATTGGTTGATAAATTGATGTTTTATTTATGTAATTTTATCTGTGTCAAGAGATTGTCCCCTGTACGAGTATTACCAAGTTGTTTTTATATATATTCTTTGTTTAGTAGTGAAACATGTGATTTGTGTATTATCATTATATTTGGATCTTTTACTTATACATGACAATACAGTACTACTTATTTATTATGGTTATGCTGTGAGTAAGCCGGTGTCCCTTAGATTGCTTACTCCTGAGACGCGCATGATTTACTGTATGTCTGTGGTTGGTTGTCGTGCTTCTCCTGTCGAGCATGACTCAGTTTATTGATGTTTTTAAACTCTTTGGGTATGTGCAGGTGATAACATTTAGTCATCTCTTGTATCGTGAATTCCATTTTATTATTTGTACAGTATTTATTGAAGAAATACATTATTGAAATCCTTACTGTGGGTGTACAGATTACACGTTCATCAGAGCATTAGAATTGGCCTTTATTTGGAGGATTATCACTGGCATTTTGCACCTCCATTTTCCCAGAGTACAATAGTATGTTATCTTACGTCTCATCATGTGTGAGAGTGAAGAAGACCAAGACTTGAGTGTTAGCTGGTCAGATATATTTCTCTCTCTCAGCCAGTCCATCAGGCAGTCAGTCAGGATTGATATTCATAGAGGTGGCTGATACTGCTATAAAGACTGGTCTTAATGGTGTACTGTACTGTACTGTACTGGTGTTGTAGGTAACAAGTACTGGTGGCTGGATGGTTCAAGCTGGAGGTGGCGGTGGCGGCGGCCGTGTGGGAGTAGATGGAAACATTCTCTCGCCACTTGCTTCACCGGAGACCCTCGAAGCTGTGGCCCAGATGATCTCACAAGAGCTTCTGGATGATACCATTTTAAGTTAGTCGTTGAGCTTTTCAGTTCTGCTGACCCCACCTAGGAGGTCTTTTCCTCTGTTGAAAATCTTTATCGGACTTCCTATCTTTGTAGAATACACTTACAGAACTTTTTCTCTCTTGAACATACATGTAAAAATTTCCCTCTGTAGAACACACAGTATGTACTAGAACTTTTCCCTGTAGAATATATACATTATATATATATATATATATATATATATATATATATATATATATATATATATATATATATATATATATATATATATATATATATATATATATATATATATATATATATATATATATATATATATATATATATACAATAGTATACCCTACCCTGTATACTGTACAGTATATAGAACTTTTTGTCAGCAGAATGTAATGTACTTTAAAAATTTCCTTTATGCATTACAGCTTTAGAGTCTTCCTCTTTTAATTTCTTAAAGTGTATTTATCTATTAGTTCAGTTTTTCCTTAGATAAACTGTATATGAAAAATGATGGATGATGTTTATGTTTATTTGTTTATGGGCTGTGTTGGACAGGAAGGATATGAGAGATAATATATCTACAGTGTTGGACACAGAGGCTGTAAGTTATTTTCATTATCAATAGGTTTTGAGTTGAGTTAGTTTGTTCTGTAATATACAATTTGGCTGCAAATGATGTACAGTATTAAATGGCTTTTTTGATGTGAGTTTTATTACATTTGTGCCACAGATGTTGTGTTTGAGATTCACCAGAGTGTCAAGACAGGGCTGATGGTGTTGGAACTTGGCACAGTGGAAGAAGAACACAAATTTTTGCAGGTAAAGTTAGGAGGGTATGGAGAGTTACCTCCTCTTCTTCCTCCCAAATACAGTAAAATAAATGAAGCGCTAGATGATATAAACTTAGATTAGGTTAGGTTCAAAAGCTTCCATCAGGTAATCATAACTGACCAATGGAAGTGTCAAAATTGGTTGTTAATTGGTGGTGGTGATGTCAGAAATATTGCTCTTGTTATATATTCAGAATGGACAGTGGTTTAAAAAAATAATAACTAAAGATTCAAGCATGTTGGGATGTAGTTAAAGAGTGGTGATCCCTCTATAGGTGATTATAATGATCGTCCTGTTTTTCAAGTTTATTTATCTACCTCAGTTCTCTTCTTCAGGTTTAGTGAAATGATCATTAGTTAAAAAGTGTGGTTGTGTGAGATAAATAAATTTGATCATGTTTTCAATGTTCCTGAGGTGTACTGTTTGTTTGATTAAGTATTATTAAATTAGGAATATCTTGCAGGTGAATGCTGAGGGGCTAGATGTGTTTGGCCAGGCACCCATTAAGAAGCAGCATGAGTGTATTTGCCCAAGCTGCTCGAGGAACCTGGCAGCATCAAGGTACAGTAAGGCATAAACACCAGTGATGTTGTCCAGATAGTAAACAAGACCATTCACTGTTTTATCCTTCATGGGTCCCCTGGAGATTAGCCTCGAAGGACTCATCTGGAATTTTGCCTCCCCCCCACCCCCCCAGCTTAACCAGCCTAATATTCACGTGATCGACAAAGATTAAAATTATGAGTGGTCTTGTTTGTGGTCTGGACAACATCAACGGTATAAAGTATAATTCTCTCTGTTATCTACATCAGTTTAATGACTCATGTTTTCTCAAGCAAACTTAACCTAACCTAGCCTCAGGAACTTGGTATCATAAATATTTGAACCACTTTAATGACAAGTTGGCAAGATTACTGAGCACCAGCAACAAGCTTGGCCAAATAAAAGTACAACTCCATTCAATCAATCAGAGCACTGTACCATCCTCTTCTCTGAGGGTTGATGATCCCAGTACTCTACTCATGACTCTTTTTACCAATCCTCTAAGGTTTTGTATCTCTGGGGACTCAGTTTTTAATTTCACTCATCCATCCCCTGCCTCTGGCCCTCCTACCCTTATCTTTGCCCATTAACATTTTTGTTATTATTCCCTAAGTACATGGCCAAAGTATCTCAGTATCTCATTATTCTTTTCAAAATATTTCTTGAGAATTTTTTTGTTAATCTTAGTACTTCTTCATTTGTTTTCCTGTCAATGTAGCTTATTCATAGCATTCACCTATAACATCACATTTAAAGACCCCAAACCTCTGCTGAAAGTGTCCACGCTTCTGACCCATACATCAGTCCTTGCTGTATAAAGCCTTTCAGCAGCCTTTTTCTCATACTGAATTTAATGTCTCTTTTCATTAGGTCTTTTAGATTATTAAATGCTGTTTGTGCTGGCCCTATTTTTTGTGTGTTTTTTATTCTTCCGTACATCTGCCATCACAGCTGACGTTACTTACCATGTACACAAAGTTTTCCACTTGTTTAAGTTGCCTGTTGCCTACCATAATTTTTATTTAGGGTTTATTTTCGAACTCTTTCCATATTAAAATCATTTAATTCATTTAAAAAAATATATACCCTGTATATGAATTAAGCCAAAATCTGTACCCTGTATTATAATGATCCATATTAACGAGGATACAGTGTATGTTGTTTACATTGTCTTGGGGTGAGATCCACATACTGTATTGAGGTACAGTGCCTAGGGTGTTGTTCAAACCACATATTTGCAATTGTCATCTTGTTTTCTTTACAAAACTCAATTACTAATTCTCTTCTCTCATTTCTATCACCCAACCCATGTGGTCCTGCTTCTGGTGCCTCTTTCCCTTTCCCAAATTTTGCATTAAAATCACCCGTTGTAATCAGACATTCAATAAACTTTATAAATGTCTTTTGCTTTTTTAAATCTTCATAAAAACATTTAATACTTCACCCTCACTATCATTTGTTGGTGCATACACCTGTATTATTACTAAGTCCATGAGTTAAACATTAAACTTGATGAACAAAACTCTACCTGACACTGCTCAATATCCCTTTGCACTATACTACTCAACTTGTGGTTTACAATAATACCAACACCTCTCATGTTTTTCACCACCTGAATATATGAAGTAAGAATCTACACTAATGCTACTTGAACCTGTCCATCTTATTTCACTTACTCCCAGAATGTCCCACTTTAATCTTTTAATTTCCATACAAACATTTGCATACTTACCATCTTCATATAATGTCCTCACAGTCCACATTCTATGATATTTGTGAATTTATCCAATATACAGATTTGCACCACACCTTGAGAAGTGTATGGGGATGGGCAGAAACTCTTCACGTATAGCTAGTAGACGTATTCAGAACTCGACCAAAGAAAACACACACAACCACACCGGAGGGAGCGACGACGACGACGACGACGACTGGGTCAGCGACCGTAAACGCAAGAAACGTGACAAGAACTCCCCTCGTAGATCTAAGAATGCAAAGGTAAGTCTTCCACGAACCCTCACACAAACGATCTCGGATAAATGATAATGAAAGATCTTATTAAAGCAGAGTTGGTTATCTTCACTTCTCTCCAACCTTTTCTTTTTTTCTTTTTTTTCTTTATACAGAATTAGCCCACCCGGGAACAGGTCACTGGCCCACATCGGGGCCTAGGGGGCGAAATTGTATTAATAATCATAATATTAATAATAATTTGTTCAAAGTAATTAAGTATATCGTAATTCGCTTTTTTCGGACTCTCCGAGTTGCTCCAGACTGCCCCTTTGTTTAATGGAAATAATTTTAAAAGTTCGTAAATCAGTCCGAACGGTTTGTGTTCGTACGTGCGTGGGTGTCATACGGCAGGTGCCTCAATCTGAGTCCCGCATTCATTCCCATCACCAGTGCACTACACCTCACTACCTACACTCATTTACATGAACTTTTAGTGATTATTTTCTGTTGGCCCACAGAAATTTCCACTAGCCCATAATTGTTTTCAAAATGTGTGGGGATATCTTTTAAAACTCTTAATGACAGAAACAGTGGCTCACTAAATGGATACGTCTGGTGGTGATGGAGTGTGGGAAGTGTGTGTCATGGATGGTGCAATACGTGATCGTCTTCCCGGGAGGATTACCGTCTCCTTTGTTTGAATTATATTACCCCAAATCTTACCATTTTTCTGTGGTTGAATGTGTGTTGAACTTGCAACCAGGGTTGACATTTTTTCTGTAATAATCTACATTTATTCCTAGTGTACAATATTAATTACTACATGTCCACTCACCATCTTTTCCTGTCTTGGTGGTGCCTCTGTGAGTCAGCAGAGGAATATTAATCAATACTCATGCATTCTAATGCAGAGTGAAGAATTTTTCATTATTAAACCTATTAAAATCGTAAGATCAACTTACAAAGTAGCCTTCATTTTTGTATGACACAAAATTATCACTCACCTGATGGAATCATGATATTTAATCTGACTCACTGTAAGGATTTTTTACTCGCCACGGGCGAGTATGATTGGGCAGCCTTGGTTGGTGGCACACTTCAACCCACTACACCTGGAGAAGCACTTCTACTATTTGTACTATGGGTAAATATTTTACGGTACAAAACAGTCCGGTTAAGCAGGGTTATGTCCGGACCCCAATAGATTCGCTTTTTTCGAACTTTCTCATTTTATGGTTTGGGGTCTGCCCCAATTAGTCCAATTTATCAAGGTTGTACTGTCTATATACAGTACTGGACTCTATTTATATATTTATACCAGTATATACTCTATAGGTAATGATTTTAATCAACTTGCAGATTAAGTCTGATAGTGTATCATCAAGTAGCAGTGTTGAAAGTACATTGGCATCAGGAACAACAGAGGAGAAGCGTGCCATGCTGAAGCAAATTTGTGGGGTCATATCTGAACACACACATAAAATGTGCACTCGTTCCTTGCGGTGTCCTCAACACAGTAATGAACAGAGGCAAGCTGTCAGAGATCAGGTATGTACTGTAGTAGGCTTATAAACCTTCTTTTCTTTTTTTCTCCTTGGCGTGTTTTCTCTTAGATGTCCACAACGGAGCATCATGTGTGGACTTCTTAGCTACTGATCACTTGATGAATATTGCTGTTAATATCAGATATGGGAGCATTTTAGACAATTTTCACTTCTTACTTCCAAATGTTAGGGTCAAGCTTTCATTTGGTGTAAGCCTGTTAAGAATATAGTCATCATAAATATATTATTTGAGGTTGTCTGAAGCTGCAGTGTGCACCAGTGTAAGTGAGGATAGGCAAGTATCTCTCCTGATCTGTAAATGTCAACCTAATTAGATTTTTCTGAAGCTGTGTTGACAGCTTATTTCTTTCATATTTACCCTTAATTAAAATTCTAATAAACCTGAGAAAGTTTCTCTCCACAAATGCATTAGTTGGGCAAGAAATGGAAATCATAAAATTAACATTCTAGTCCTGTGAAATGTGAGAAATATATGTTAGTGAATAGCAAAATACATAATTATCGCTACTCACCGCCTATGGTTCGTGCTGAGTCGTAGATGTCAGAGAGTCATTGAGTTTCATCACCCCTTTGGGAATTACCATGCATCTGGGTGAGAACCGAGTGCAAAATAAGGTAAGGTCGGATATGGTAGGATTCCACTTGACACACACACATACACACTGTGTTAGTACAACTTCACAACACCTTCACTATTTTCCTTCTTATCACACTATATACACGATACGGTGATAGATATCACCGTTAGCTGGAACAATTGATGCAGAGCACCTCCAGGAATGCAAGATTTCCGGATAATGAGACGACTCTCTCAAAGCCGGGAAAAAATCCCTCATCCCTGGAATTTTCCGGGTACTCGGGGATTTTTTTTTGGAAGTTCCAGAAATTGCACATTACATCATCTCTTGAACCCAGAAAGAAATTCCCCAGCCCCAGAATTTTTCAAGGTACCAGAATTTTCCAGAATGATGCATGATTTCTTCTCTCAAAGCCGGAAAAAATTCACCATACTGTACTGGGATTTTCTGGAATTTTCCGAGTACAGCACTGGGAAAATTTTCTTAAAATTTTCCAAAAAATGTGACCGTCAGAAAATTTCAATTCCAGCTATCGGAGAGTTCCAGTTAAGAGGGATTCCAGTTAACGGAGATATTATTTGTACATTGATCACTCACTTTTGAGTTAGAAGTGTGTTACTGTGGGAAACATGGCCTCGTGGAACAGTTTTGGGCACATAACAGCATTCGCTACCAATAGACTCCTAGTGTCCCAGGACACCATTAAAGGTTAAACAATTTTGTAAAGTAAAGATTCACCATCTGCTGTGTTTTCCCAGAACAAAACTTCCAAAGATGATATTTATTGTACAGTATTGACCAACAGAATCACTTTAAATTTGTTAAAAAAGTGAATTGATACAAGGATAATACATGAGGGTGTGATCCTTCAGCATGTTCTGTACAAAATGGATTATCAATACTGGATTGTATTTGCTGCCACAGGCTCTATTAGTACAATACAGTGATATCCCCATTAGCCGGAACATTTGGTGCACAATACTTACGGGAATGAGAGATTTCCGGGTAACGAGACAACTCTCTCAAAGCCGGAAAAAATCCCTCATCCCCGGAGTTTTCCGGGTATCGGCAAAATTTCTCGGGATTTTCCGGGAAAATTTCAATTTCGGCTATCGGAGAGTTCCGGGTTTGAGGGATTCCGGCTAACAAAGATATTACTGTACAGTACTGTACCCATGTGTTGGGCACATGTATTAATGAAGCCACAGTAAAACTGTGTACATTATGAACACCACAGCTAAGTTCACAGGCTTCCATGAATGGCTTTGTCATTGTAAGGAAGACATAAATTTGTCTTGTAGAGCCATTTTTTGTATACTGTAGTGAGTTGTTTAATATAAAATTTTAGGTGCTCAATGGGTCCAGCACAGAGACTACAACCCGGGCAGCAGATTCAACCAGTCGTGGTCTGGGCGATACAGAGGACATCCACGTGGACATAGACGGTCTGGACGACGGACAGCTGGCTTCGTCGTGGGATAACGACCACTCTAACACCACGTCTCCCGCTGACTCTACCTCCACAAATAACTCTACGTCCTCTTTAGCAAAACGGAGTGGAAGCAAAAGCAAGAAGAAATCTTCGTCAAAATCTTCCAAAAGCTCCAGTAGCAGCCATGGGTCATTACTAGACTGAGTTAGTAATGACCATGTTCAACACATAGTTTTTGTTTTTTAGTGAGGTAATACTTATGTTGACCAAAAATGGATACAAATCTAACATTTAACAATGGACATGTTTGTTTATTCAGAACATGTGCAGTAAGTGATCTAAAAAACTGATGCTGTTGTAACTTATTTTATTGTGTATGTATCAGGATTATAGTTTGTCCCAGTCATCTGGCTCCATAGTGTGTTACCATAACATCAGTGTGATGTTCAAATTGTATGCCATGTAATATTGTTTTTATCACTGGAAGTATGAGATTCTTTTATTTCATGTTTTGGGTAAGCTGTAGGGAAAAACACACCAACTGACTCATGCCCACCATCCATGACAGGACCAGTTCTACATTTCCTTGGAATGTGTAATTACTTTTTTATTACTGCTTATCAAAAATATACACACAAAAAGTATATATATATATAAAATCAATTCCAAAGATAAAACAAATTGCATGGTCTACAGTTATAACACTTATTAACAATGTTGAAACACTATGAGGCCAGATTTATGGGATATTCTGTATATATGCCTGTATGATATTCATATGATTTAGTATTAGCCAAGGTATATGGAGGCAGTTGCAGCTGTTATAGGAAAAGTCGGGGTACACAGTGATGAAGTGACCAAGAATTTGTAAAAGCAAAGAATTTACTGTAGCATATTAATACTGACTGAATATGCATAAGGCCAAGAGTTTAATACTGTATATATGCTGATTGCAGGTCAAATGGACTCCAGTCCTAAATGGTACAAACCTAACCAGACCTAATTGATGGGATTGGGGTCTTTAGTTTTGGGCCCCAATCCTAATTTTTAGGTAAGGTTAGTTTTGGTCTTAATAGGACTGGAATTCGTCTGACCAGTAACTGAAATTCAGAACTTGGTAAAATACTACAGTGGTGAATGAGTCACTCACCTGGCTGTATGTGGTTGACACTTATCAACAGATGATCTTAGAGCTGTACTTGAACGTCTACATCCAGTAGTATCTTGCAGAGCGGATTTTATGGCCTGTGGGTCATCCGTCAAGTGACCTGTGAGACGACCGACACAATACTGCAGATAAATCTTGCCTTGTTCAGGGAGCTGTCTATTTTCTTAAGGGCAGGTTCATGGTTTGATTATATAAATGCAAGGCTTTATAAACTACTTCATGTCCAGTCAAACAAAGTTGTTTTAATCTAGCTTTAGCCTTTGCTCAGTGGTTGGCTCAAAACCTGCCAAGTCAATAGGTGCACCAGAATGAACCCATAGCTATTGAATGTTTTACTTCCCTCTGAAATAAAAGATTACAGTTCCAACCTTGACATACACAGTACAGTGCATCCATCATGGGATAAAAGTCAATTAATCTTGGAAAGAACATCAGGATTTTATTATTCACAATGGAATTCAAATTTCATATGATGATGTCTTATTAATATAAGTTTCTGAAGAGACTTTTGTATTTACTATTTCTTTTTCTTCTTTTTCCAAAGTTGGTAGATGGATGTGCATTGATCCTAACTTGACTGTGGCAGATTTGCTTTGAGATAGGGTTTTATTTCATGAGGAAATTTCTTGGATAAAATTTGTTTCCTTAAAACTAACAGATAGTATTGTTGTCCTCATTCCTGACAGAGTTCTTCACTGTCTCCTGTGAGCTGTGTTCTAGTGACTACACTCCTTCCTGAAAGTCTGTTTTCTCTTCCTTAATTTCAGTGGTACACAAGAAGCTTCAAGGAGATCGTTATCCTTATAATTCTTTACTAATTCCCCCCTGAAGTTAAGTTTTTATCTTCCCCCAAAAACTTTGGCATGAAATTTTTCTTAAAGGTCTTCATTACAATGATTTTTGTCTGCATGATATGAGGCAGGTGATCTGGTAACACTGTAGGAGAAGAGTTGACAGATATGCTTTAAATGGCCAGTGATTTTAGTTATTTAAGATTTAGTATCAATATGTAAAATGTTTGAAAAAAGGTTATTAAGAAATGTATGACATTGCTTTATAATGAATGCATCCTAAAGCATGAAAAATACTTGTTGGCATCAGAGGTCAATTAATCCCATATGTCTGGTTCCCATTATAATCATCCAGCAGCAATGTCATATATTTCTCAATAACATTATTTCTCCACATTTTACATATTGATACTAATTAGTTATACACTAAAATATATTCTTAGGCAATTTCCAATCGTAAATCTTAAATAACTAGCCATATAAAGTGTTATGAAGGGAAGCACTGGGAGGCTTTATTCAACATCAGTAGCCATAGATCTGTAATGAACACAATAAAGAGGAATTACATATTAAGAATGAGTAAAGCTTCAAGTAACAGAATTGGCTTAACACAAATAAACATAAGAGAACTTCAAACAATATATTCTAGAGCACTTAACCAACTAAGCATAACACATCATAAAGCATATCTGTCAAGTAATCCCCATACAGTGTTACCAGATCACCTGTTTCATAACATACAGACGAACTTCTCTTCTTGACTGTACCTTTGAACAATTTGAACTTCACTATTTTATCAAATGATAAGCATAGATTGTTTAGCCTCTTTATATTAAATTACAATACATTGCGTTGATAAATGGTATATGGCCTTTTGTTTCTTTATCTAAGTTTCACCATTTTCAGTGACACTCTTATCTCTCTCAGTTGAAGCTCAAGTGAGACATTATCAGTGGAAGTTAGTTCTATGGATGGCAGCCATCATCAGTGGACATTTTTAACATATTGGGGTAATTGGGAAATCCTTAGCCACCATTTAAAGGTTAATGGGATGGGTTCTGATAAATGTCACTAGATATTCTTTACCTTTGTATTTTAATTTCATTATTCTGACTTGTAACCTTTATTATCACTATTTTTCTTCAATATACAAAGTTGCTGAATTAGTGAATTTGGGGGGACTTTGGATCCTTTATTTAGGTGATTATTTTCCATTACAATTTCTTTCTGATGGAACTTTCATGTGACAAAAGGTGTGTCTCTCTCCACTGACATGTTACTCTAATTCCACATAAAACATTCCCTGAGCAGTAAATGTCTTGGGAAACCATTCCTTGCTTGTTTATTGACTTTTGTGTGTGACATTATGGAAGTCTGGTGGTCTATTGATCTCCGTGCTTTAACCCTTTAACTGCTCATTGTGTCAATGGGATTCATCCTCGTTTGCATATTTTGAGGATATTCATAGTTCTCAAAATACAATAATGAACATAACAACACTTACATATGAATGAGAATAAATAAATACAGGGTATAAAAGTTGAATAGTGTGCCACAGAGGAGTGAAGTGATTTAGCGTGGGATGTCCCATACTGGGGTGGGGGGCCCGGACTCCAGGCCACTACCCTCCCTCCCGGCGGGAACGAGGGTATTGGTAGTGGTGGGATGTGGACTGGAGGCGACAGGACATATGCATCAATTTTCTATGACTAAATTATATGGGTAGCTTTACTTTTCTTCAACAATTATTTAAAAGACTAATTAGTGTAGTATATTGTTATATGGGGATATATTTTACTATAGTCATTATACTGAAAAAGGCACACACATTTCACCACTATTAGAATACTATAAAATCTTGTACTTTTATAATGTGTGGGTGGCTTGGGACATTGGTTCGTGAGTGGCTAAGGCCTCGGGAGCACCAAGTGTTTGAAAAATTGGCGCACACATCTTGATCCCTGATAGGGGACAGGAGCAGTTAGAAGGTTAAGAGAGTTCATGGATCTGTTTTCAAAACTCTTAGAGATTTTAATCTTGGCTTCTTTTTTTTTTCAATCTCAGAACATAAAGAGAACCTTTAGATTTTTGTTGGGAATATTGTATCTCAGTATTTCTTTCTAGTCTCGGCTTCTTACGAGAACTCTTTCGTCATTTGTAATTAGTAAATATATATTTTCCTCATCTCTCTTAACACTAGTACAGTATTATACATGACATAGTCTACTGTACTGAGCTTTTTGTGTTTCTAGATATATTTAATTACAAGTACTATGTATGCACAGTATATTGATTGAAGGGGTTGTTGTGAGTTATGAATCTTGTATTAGACTGAGGCAATAACAAGTACCATACTTAATAACACCTTAAGTGAACACTTACTGGGTTGCCTTAAGTACAGTATCTTTCCTGACGTGAAACTTTCTACTACACCCCTTCCTAACCGGTTAGGATTGTGCAGGTCACATCCTGAATGACTCATAGGCCATAAAACAAAAGATTGAATTATGAAATCCTATTTTATAGCTGAGGGAGAGGTTTGTGTGACTTGGCATTCTTTCTTTCTCCCTTGATAGGCTTTGTTATTGGCAGGAAAATGGAAGATATCTCGTCTGACTCTCATGTTTACGACTCGGGAGTTCAAGTTTATCTCCGTGTAACTTTTGGCTTTCTGGTGTTCAGAATAGTCACCAAGTCAAGGTCATAACTTTCTTCATAAATATGTTTTGACTAGATGAATAGCTGTTTCTATAGCCTTGTGCTGATCTCATGGGCTGTGTACCTACCTCAAGAACTCAGAAAGTCCCCTGAATAAGGCAATCTCTCTCAGGGATTTGTTTGGTGGGTGGTATTGAAGGTCACTTGACTCTTCTATTCAGCCATAAATATGATTTTATCCTTCACTCATTAATTTATTATAAGGTTCACTTTTATAAGTACCTGTACTATATGGCTTTTGGATACTTTTGGAATATGCTTGACTTTTCTCTATTTATAATTTGTTTTTTAGTTCTTTCATGGATGTGCTCCTCCTTTGAGACTGATATGTTATTCATGCTGTTTGAGTGGCTATTTTTTGTGTGATTTTAGTCATTTGAAATTTGACATAATAATGGTGTTACAATCTCTCTTATTACACATTATATATTGTTTAAACATTCATTTAGTTATAATGGTACTGTACAAAACATTTATTAAAAATCACTTGGTTACACATCAGTGCCCCAACGCCTGGAACATGAACCCAGCAGATACAGTATTGGTGTTATTCTCAGTGATGTCATGTTATATATACCTGATTATGTACTTAACCTTGATCAATCTTATTATTTACAGTTTGTATTTTTGTTTTGTTTATTAGTTTAGGTGTTGTGCCAGGAGACATGTTGGGGTAGATAGAGCAGAGGTTGGTGTTGTCTAGTGAGGAAAAGGTTATTTATGTGTAAAAAAAAAAAAAAGTTAATGAAACAAGAACAAAATTCTTTGGCTTCTAGTGTTAATGGGAAAGTAGTTGCAGCAAGATCCACCTGTAATGGTCTAGAGTGTGGTTATATAGATATGAATGAAACAATATCCAGTAACAGGTAGTTTAGTGATCAGGTGAGTATATTTATCCTGGACCGATTGTTAAAGTAGGTGTATTTATCACCTTAGGTGTTCATTTGCATGATGGTTCATGCAGCAGTAGTCATTATAACCGTCAGTGTTGTGTGTTTTTCGTGATGGTAGTGTCTTGGTCAGGAGTAAGCAAGGTAGCTCAGGTTTTGCAGAGTTGAGGGACCAGCTGAATGTGTACTGTAGTTTTAATAGCACACCCAGCACCTTGCATGCAAGGATTAGACTGTCTTCTAATATAGTTCATATGCCCAATAATTATGATATCTTGCATTATAATCATTGCTGATATTTTTGCTCATTGAGCTGTCAATTGTGTAGATGTTTCAGAATATGTATAGGAAGGATTAACTCAGATTTTTCTTAATTTTTTTTCAGGACACTATTGACTTTTGTTGAACATTGCATTGTATTTAGGATTTTTATAATGATTGATGACATTGTTTAGCAACATAATTTTAGGTCACAGCTTATCTGTTGTGGATAAGAGTCCAGCTGCAAGTATATTTGACAAAGTTTCTCAACAGTTTCAAGATAAACACCATGGTAAGGTGAAAACAGTCATTGAGAGGCTAGGTTTAACACAGTGTGCGGCAACCCAAACTTAGCAGTCTACCTATTAAGGTAATCAAAGCTGTAGTATCATTTACTTGGAACATAACTTTGTAATTTATTGTGTTCATAACCTGTAAGCTTACTAGAGGTTCAGACGGTCACTAACATCTCGGACTTTCTCTGTCGGCAGGTACTGGACATGTAAAGAATGTACAGTAGCTGAGCATGTATCACTTATAGTCTAACTTGGATTTAAACCAGTGGTGGCACATGTACAGATACAGTTCAAGAGCCTGTGAGTATTATTTTGTCCTCAATATAAATGAATCTGTTAGTATATTATCCTGCAAATAAGGATCAATGTTTTTTATATAATGGCTCTTAGTAACTGCATCTGAAGTAAGCACTTGTTAGTTCAGTATATCCCTATTAAGAATGAGGGGTACGTTACTGGAGTCATAGGTCCTATGGTTCTCAGTCCTATTTGAACATAACCTAACCATTAGAATTGGGTTCCCTTAGGAGTAAGATCCCCTAGGACTGAGGCCCATTAGGACAGGACACCCAATCCCAGGTCAGGGTCTATTAGGACTAAAGCTCACTCGATCGTTTACCATTTGTGTTAGATAAAACAGGATCAGACACCGTAAGTGGCTTCAGTTCTGTACATATTAGTGCCTCAGTTTTCTTAATCCATTTTAACATGGGCTTTTGTTCTTATGTAGCAAGTGGTTAAAGTTTTGTACTTTTTCCCTCTTGCCAAACCTACCGTAGCCAAAGTATTTTCTTACATGATGTAAAGTTATGGTCAGTTTGTATGGATGAAATAGAATCATCAATGATTTAATCTACTTTGATTACAGGAACTTGTACTGTATCACAAATACTTCAGAAGAATTATAAGAAACTTTTGTCAAGTTTTTTATTGTCATGTTCTCTTCACCATGCTTGTGAAATATGATTTGTTTTTTGGGAAACCTATTTGTGCCACTGTTTAATAGAGCTTTTGTATTAAATTTCTAAATTATTCTGTATTGTTGCTTTTAGAAATATAGGAAGAAATATTGACAAACAGTTTTACACACTAACTAATGTAATGGTTGAACAATCCAATTAAAAAACTATCATGAAAAGTTCTGAAGACTTTTTTTACAGAAATCAAACTTTTTATTGCCATCAGGAGGTTCCTTGTGGGGAGGTGCATATAGGAAGTTTTGGAGCCGCAGTTGAACAGGTAATATTAATGTAATGTTTCCAACTGTCACTAAAAGACACATTCTTATTGTCTGTATAATTAAATAATTATTTACCGTGTTACAGGTGAAGCCGTGAAGACTTGAACTACGGAACATTATGATGTGCCAACACTGATGAATATTGTACGACTCTATATTAAATTCTGTATGTCTCTGTTGTTGAAAGTCAGACATCATTCGGAAGGGAATTTCAGCACAGAGATGCCCCGTGTCATAACACCATTCTCTCCTTCATCAAAATATTTTATGAAGAAGGTGGCGTTTGTTCATCTATGCACGAGAGACATCACACATTGAGGACACAAGAGACATATGCCGCGGTAGCTGCAGCAAGTGACTCAAGCTCTGAAGAAGTCCATCTGTCGCCTCACAGCAGAAAGTGATGTTGGTCAAACAAGTCTCGAGCATTACCCCACATAAATCTTGTATGGTCATACAAAATCTGTTAGCACATTGTATTGTTCCATAGTTCAATCTTCAGGGCTTCACCTGTAGCACTGAAAACTAGTTATTTAAATATTCAAACAGTAAGAATGTGTCAGATATTAATGTAATGCCCTGTTTAAGGACAAACTTTACAAGGTAATGAACTTAGTATTAGACATTACTTAAAAAACACACACTTTAGAGACATTTCTACATCTTGCATTAGTATTAGATGGCTCATAGAAACATATTATGTCCTATAGGCCTTTTGCAGAAGTGTTCTTGCTTCTTAAATAAGATGCTCAATGGATGTCGTGATAGAGGCACAAAAGTGATGTGTAAAGATACCTGAGCTTATAGCTGGTCATGGTTACATTATTTTAGTATTCTTCTTGTTGGATGTGTAGCAAGATGGTCTAGGAGATATAAATGAGTTCACAAGGAATCATGTGTGTAAGGTCAGCCAATACAGTATGTAGTTTTCTATGTACAGTTGTACCCCACTTAACGCGGTCAATTGAACCCAGAGGGTCCCGCGTTAAGTGAAAACCGCGTTAAGTGAATAACAGAACATATGGGATTAATTCCAATAGAACCCAGCCCGACCCCCAAACTCCACTTTTTGACGACAAATAACTATGTTGTAGTAAAAATTCTATCTTAACTTTATGGTGGCATGAAAAACAAGTAATATAGAAGAGGTTAGGTTAGGAAAGATAAAGGTTAACATAGGAAAAATAAAGAATAGGTTAAAAAACGAAAATTTTTGAGGAACACTCACGGTAGTAGAAGAGATGGGTCGGCATACGGGGATGGAGGCTGGTTCCGAGGCAGAGGGCAGATTACTGCCCCTCAGGTGAATCACCATTACTAGGTGAATCACCATTACTAGGTGAATCAATATCACTGTCACTTACAGTTGTCAGGGCTTCCCTGACAAATCCCTCAAAATCAACTTCACTCTCACTATCACTGGCTTGGACTGGCTGTGGTGGGTTGCGGGCGAAGAAATCTGTTATGCTCCCTCCCTCCCTCCCTCCCCGGGGTAGTCACGTCATAATACTTTAAGCCAATTAAAGCTAGCAGCAGAGGGGGGTAGGGCTGCATGGCCAATCACAGTCCGAGACGTCATATGACGTCAGTGATAACGCAACAAAGACACACACTGCGCAACCTTACCGCGCCGCTTGCCCAAGCGGAGGGAGGAGGAAGGAGAGGCAGGCAGGCAGGCAGGAGGGCGGGCGGGCGGGTGGCGCGTGGTCAAAATCTAAAAATAGCATCCGAGCCGGACACTCACCGCGTATATGATGAAAAATGCCGCGTTAAGTGAAAGTTCAGCTTTGGCAAGGCACCGCGTATATGCGAAAACGCGTTAAGTGTAAGCGCGTTAAGCGGGGTAAAACTGTAAATGCGACAAGTAATGAAATGTTCTATTGAGGAATTTTTTTCCATAAAAAATAATGTAATTAGGGATACAGTACTTTATTTGCATTCTATCATGTACAGCCGCGGACAAAAGTTCTCTCCCGCTCCCAGGCATAATGTGACTTCAAAACTGTTTTGGACCCAACAGATGTTACACCGGAATGTTTATCAAGGAGGCAGGAGGGGGGGGATAGGAGGAAGGTTGTTTGGGGTGGAGAATGACGTAAAATATATCCATCCACTGATGACATTAAGATGGTAGAGATGGTTTACAATAATAATGATAATGAATGTATCAACAAAAATCTTATATACATGGTAAAGAATTACATCAGGCCCTTCAAATTCGCAGGGGTTAAGTTCTCAAAATGGCCGCGAATCGCCAAATCGGCGAATATCATTTGCGGAGGGGGGGGGGGGGGGATGCATTTTTACTCCTGTGCAAAGAAATGTGTATTCCCTTTGTGTTTGCCCTGAGGACAATTATTTATTTTACCTGTATGTATATATATGTGTGTGTGTGTGTGTAGACACGCTTACACAAAACACATACCAGTAAATGATAATGGGAAAATCCTCTCACAAATAACCAGAAAAAATTTATTAAAAAGTGACAGTCTACCCGCAAATCTACTCCATGCTCTATTTATAACAAAGCACGGAGTGTACTTGAGGGTAGACTCAACAGTTTTAATACATTTGTTTCTGATTATTTGTGAGAGGATTTTGCGTTAAGCCTGATGAACCTACAACACGCCAGCTGACTGAGGTGCTCACAACCATTGCACGTAGTCTCAGTGAACAGCTAGAAGAATACAATGCCAGGCCTCATCCTCGGAACCTAGTGTACTCTGCCCTTGATAAGGGTATGGAGGAATATATGGCCTTGTACATGTCCCGTGTTAATGGTCGTCAGCAGGTCCTTATTACTCGGTACTCGAGTGCAAGGCCCAGCCTGTTAATGCCTTGGCAAACATCACTTTAGGAGATGATGATGATGGCACCACCGATGATGATATTAAAGTGTTGGGTGACTTACTGGTGGAAGAGCTGCCTCAAGACTTTGATGCTGAGGTTAGAGGAGGAAGCAGTAACCTGCCTCAGAACCCATCAACCAGCCCCTCAAGGTAAGTTATTATTCTACAGTATAAAAATATTGTTATCAACAAAATGTGCAATGTGTATGAATACATTACAGTAATGCCATTTTCTTGGTGGGCTGTAGGGGGGTTTGGCTTATTTACTGTATATGTATTTCAGTGTCACTCGTTTCGCGATTTTAACTTAATCTATGCTAAACCCGGTACCAATTAGTCACGAAACACGAGATCCTACTGCATTTAAAACATTTTGCCCGAACATCTGGGTCCTATTAACAACACTCCTCCAGTCTCTCTGCCTGACAAGGACAAACATTACTGTACATCTCTCTATTATGAGTCATATGGTTCACCAACTGAGCCCATCATTCTGTTATATAATACCGAGTCATATTTTTATTTTGCAGCCATCCAGCGTGAGGAAGAAAAAGTTAAACGCTCAATGAAGGAAGCTGCTAAAAAAGGTGATAAAGATGTATGCCGGATGCTTGCCAAGGAAATTATACAGTCACGAAAAGCTGTTACTCGGATTTACACGAGCAAGGCTCATCTCAACTCTGTACAGTCACAGATGAAGGCACAGTTAGGTAAGTGTAATCAAGGCCATATTCAGCCTTGTGTTGGTTCTGTAAAAAATTTGGGGTCACATGAATATTAATCCCCCAGTTTATTTCACTTTTAAGATTAACCTCAACTGCTAACCTAACCTACCCCAGGTAGCAGTAAGGTGTTTAATCATTTGGTGAAATAAGCTGGGATGGCTTATTTCATGTAATCCAACTTTTGAATGCCAAAGATCCACGGGATTCTCACTCAGAAATGTAAAATTTTGTCAGGAAAATTTATTATAACTTTTTTTTTTTCATGCAAATGCTTTCCCACCATGGTAGAGGGAGCCAGAGTCAAGGGTATTACATGCACTATCTCACATTTGAGTTGCCTTTCCAGATGTGTTGTGTTTTACTGTATAGTGTTCCTCATCCACAAGTTGTCCCTCTGGTATAGGGGGATTCCTTGATTTATGATAGTGTTACATTCCTGAAAATCACAGAGTAGACCGAATATTGAGGTGCAACTGTACTTGTATCACTTCATGTATCACTCTGAGTCAGCAGGTGAAAGGAGTTTGTTGCTCCTACATCCACCCATTGTGTACAGTACTGTAGTGGCAGAGGTCTTGGAAGAGGGAAAAAAAGCAGCAGTTAGTGTTATTTTTTCCCCCGTTTTCCTCGATGGGTTGTTGTATCGGTACGTGCTCCTTTGAAGAAATCCTCACCACACAGGAGCTGCCATGCACAGGCCAACCGGCCTATTGCAGACTCCTTATTTTCTTATGTTCCTATGAATGGTGGATCACATGCACAATCACAGTTCTTTAGAAAGCAGAAAATTCCTTTCTTTGTGGCACCAGTATTGTTTCCACGTTACTTCAGGCACTCATGCCTGCTGTTTCCTTTTTCATGTTTCCACAGTAGTCACTGTTATCATTAAGGACTGTCTTCATCACTGATCGGCTCATTAGCTGCTTGGGCGGTTGGTCACGTCTCTGTTACGCACTGTTGGCATGCACTGGCTCCTGAATGTATTTGAACCTGCTCCAGTGTTGGTCAAGTCTGGTCCGGAAAGAGCTCACACTCAGTGCAGTCACAACACTCTGGCAAGTTGTTCCAAGAGTTCACAATCCTCACTCCAAAAAAGTTTGCTTTCACAGTTTTCTGGACTTGGGGCTTCTTCAATCAACTCCAGGTAAATATGGATACTCTCGACTGAGTAGTGCCTTATCGAGATGTTTATACACCTCAATTAGGTCACCCTTGCCCATCTATAGTATAAACTAGGCAGTTGCAGGTACTCTAATCTCTCTGGATAACCGAGGTGCCATAGACGTCCGTTTTAAATTTTCTTTATAAATCTCGGCAAATGGCATTGATTTCATCCTGCTCTCACTATAGATTCTTAATCAATCAAAATTCTGAACTCCGTTATAAAGTGATTATCATATAATATTTTTATTTCAATACGTGAATAATTATGAACGATACTATATTTTTCTTATTGTAAATAATAAAATCTTAATAATTAACCCAAGCTCAAAACTGAATTCTAACCAGTGAAAAGTCCAAGTTACTTACTTTTACTTTTACTTTTATCCTCTTCGCCACTGATCTGCTTGTTAGCCGCCCAGGCGATCGGTCACGTCTCTGTCACGCACTGTTGGCAAATACTGGGCATGCACCGGCTCCTGAATGTACCGTGGTTGCCAAAGACAATAATATATTGTACTAGAAAAAGAAAAGTAACAGAGACGTGACCGATCGCCCAAGCGGCTAACGAGCTGATCAGTGATGAAGAGGATATAAGTAAGTACAATTGTACCCACACAACTTGGCTCTGGTCAAGTAGAAAAAATATTTTAATATTTAATTGCAAATAACAACAAAAGTTATGTCACTTTACATAATCACATCACCAAGACGATCTTGATTATCTAATGAATTCACTGTTCAATTTCTGTCACTTATACACAGTTTACATCCATAAGTCTCGAGAAAAACGTCAAGGTGAAGAAAACATGATATATCTACAAATATATTAAATTAAATGTACAAATTAAATAACTCATAAATAAGAAAATAAATAGAGAAAAAAATAACAAAACCACAAGTTTAACACTGTACGAAGTATTTGATTTTATACATTTAATTGATGAAAGATATGATCACAGGAACCAGGAGAGGACAGAAAGGCTTGTGGTTCTAACATTCATTTTCATTCTTACTTGCAAATTCATAAAAAAGTCCTTCATTTTGAGCATCATATGTACAGTTTTAATTTATTTTATTTTATTATAATACTTGGCAAAAAATCATCCATTCCTTTTAAGTGCTTTAAAAAACACAAACCTTACAAAACAAGCCATCATCATCACCAGGCATAACAAAAACAATCATTAATAAAACCTTTTCTATCATCCCTTAACACAACACAGCACTTAATTATTACAATGTCTGCACTGTTGCTCGACTTGTTCTTAAGGAATAAAAACGTCGAATGGAAACGGCGACCGTGTGTAATAATGATGCCTGAGAAGGCCTCTTTTTCCATTCTAAATTTTGAGCTAAAATAATAACATATTACAAGGTCTTCACAAAACTTAGGACTTATCATTAGCACAGTTACTATACACTGCTGTGCCATATATCTTTAATGTATTACATGTACAGTACCTTTGATGGGGTTACATAGCGCATGATTATTGTTGTGTTGACTCTGAGCCACGGTACGTGACGACATCCTAAGTGACCAGACATAGTAGAGACCTTGTAGTATGGCCTTCCACTGTCACCAGTTCTGAATATTCTGAATTTTTCTTAAGGATGTTGAATATAACATAGCAAGATGGAATATCCCACTGCTCATATAATCAATAAATGACCACATGACCTTGAAAAGTAATATTCAATCACTTATTAAAATTTGATTATATAAAATTATGATAAGATGCTGAGGAGGACATCTTGATTACAGGAATTTATGATGTCAGGCTGTCAACAGTACAGATAATGACACTAACCATCAGTCTAAGTTTGGCCACAAAGGTAAAGCTGGTACTGTACAGATCTCCTTCACTAGTGCATTTACAGGGGTTCGTCATATAAACGTTCCACAAATCATTACATCAAGATATTTGTTTTAATATTGTTCTACTTTGATTCCATAGTACAGTATGTTTACCATTGCGAGTTTTCTTCTATCGAATGTAAACAAACACAACTCTGCCACACTGCACAAAACCTGATGAGCTCTTGTAAACCCACTAGTGAAGAGGACTACATATACGTATTCATGAACTGGACTTAACTTACATTTATACTTCCAAATACCCTGTACAAGACTTCCACAAACATTTTTAAGTATTTAAACAACATTTCTGAACCATTAAATACTGCACATTACTGTATCTCGAACCCTTTTTTTATTACTGGATTTTTGAGCAACATTATTTCCCAGCCCTCTAACACTGCATTTCCCTTCATCTCCAAACTCTTGTATACTCGTATTTTCACTGACAAAATCTCCCAAATCTATGTCATGTGACCACTCACATTAAACCTACATACAAGTACACGATACTAAGACTTTCATTGGTAAAAATATTTAAATACACTTTATGTATCCTAACCACCACCATATATCATCCCGTCCCGTAGTGCTGTACTCTACCTTCTTTACCACACGATCTGCTTAATGCACGAGAAGATATTATACAGTTGTACTAGTACCCATATTGCTATCAAAACTAAAAGAACATAACCTTCAACTCCCTATACAGTATAAAAATAGTAGAAAACTATATCAGTGTAATATATTAGCAAACTGTATTCTTTAGGTATATTATATATATTATCCTCTGAAATATATAAATATATGAAGCATATTATAGTACAGCACTTGATATATGTATATAATTTATCACTGCAGAAATAAATAAACAAATCACAATGAAGTTTGAGGAACACTTTTAAAAACCCATAACAAGAGTAACATCAACAAATGAGACATAAATATGTACAGGAGAACCGAAGTGGCCCTAGAAACTTGAAAATTGAGCTAAATGACAAATAATACTTAAAATACCCATTGTACCACAAGCTTCCTTTATCCTGGGAAGGCTATCTGGACACCCTTCATATTCTTGTAAATATTCAGGGTTTTCAGTACAGTACAAACTAATTCAACTCATGTCTGGAGTGGCACAAATTTCCATTTCCCTACAATTATTAAATTCACGTGTCCAACTTTGCAGTATGCAATATCTAAACACATGTCACCATTTAGTTTTGTTGATCTGTTTCTTCATTACAGAGCCAAAGTCATTAACATCTTGATCTTCAGCCTTTTCATCCCCTCTTTGGACATTCCAGCCCAATTTATTTATAGAAAACCCTGAATATTACCACACTCTTACCTTTTAATCTTAGAACAGATTAACATCATCTGATTCACAGAGTAGTGAGGTGCCCATGATGCAGAATTCTTGACTTGATCACAATCCCTTGGACTGAGTTGATTCCACAGATAAACATCAGGTTTTGAGATGTATAAGTCAAAATCTTACATGTTGCTAACACACCTACATATACAAATTTGTAGAAACTTTGCGCTGAAGACAAAATAATTCACGGGAGTAGGAAAAAAAACAGAAATAAGCCACAAAAATAATCAGGATGAATAATGAATGAACTTAGGGGGTTTGTTCTTCTCTAGTGTCTGGGATGAGTAGTACAGTCCAAGAAACAATTATCTTCCCAAGTTTTAGCGAATACATCACAGAAAAATTGAACTATCTGATGCATGTATCAGGGTACAGGAGGTGCCCGATATATCTTGGTTCAAGACCAAAGTCACACGACTTAAAGTGAAACAATGTTAAGAGGGGAATTTTCTCCCATAAGATTACATACAGTACATGTAAATACAGACAGGGACTGTAAGAGTGTTTACGTTGCCGATGCAAAGCACGAACATTTCTCCCAAAAGAAATAATGTGCAGGTAATAAGAAAAGAATAGGGATTGGATTTTTAAGTCATAGTCGTTTTCTACTTAAAGAATAGAAAAAGTATATGTGATATTATAAAGCAATGACTCAAATAGAAAAGAAATATTAATGTAAACCCCAAAAACACAATTTTTTAATTTTTAAAAGGATTTAACCTCAACCTATGACCAATAAATTTGCTTTTCTTACCTTGAGGAGTGAAGGTAGTCCACCTTGTTTACTATGCTTTATAATGTCTGTCTTAATATCCAGTATAATACTCATAATTGTTCTTCCCATCATTACCTGCACTTGCATTACTTATCACTCATTATTGAATGATTACAAGGATAAATGCAGCTGAATGTAAAGCTCAACCACTACTCATAGCATGATAGAACATAATATGACCGAGAAGTGTCAAGAAGGATGCTGGTACAGTACATGATGTAAGATGGCGGCACAGTGCGGAAGATTCAAATTTTGATATTGTTTATACAAAGTCAAACGAGTAGAAAACGACATAAAGACGTTAAAGCAGAGACTTTTTATGCTGCGTTCCTCAATTAGTCAACAACGTCAGTGCAAAACGACATTTAGTACAACGATATATAGTCGGGACAACCACCCTGTGCCTTGTAAACAGTTGGCAGGCCTGTTGAGCCTTGGAAAAGTGTAGCCAGTTACTTACTTTAACGATCATTCTTTATTGGGTGTATGTGGCCATATTTCAAAACCAACATTCGTTGAAAAACTCGAAACTTGTATCCAATCAGGTGTACCAACTGTCTAGAAGTAGTCTCGGTTACACTTTCAGTAAAATCCACCAGTTTTCAATACTGTATTCATCGGTCAAAGCTGGGAAAATTATTGTTTTTTAAGAGTGTACACAATGTTCTCTGCACTTGATAATATCTGAGACCAAACAATGAAGCTTAATACATTTACTGCAGTAGTCTGCATGAAGGCTCAAACTGTTACAAAAGTGCATCTTTGTCATGCTTACAAAAATAATAAACTGAGAGGCTTAAGGTTAAATCAGAGGATAAGTTAATCTGGACCACAGCAGCAAGAAGACTATACATACAGACATAGAAAGCTCAGGTTCACTTAGAATGTATTGAGTGAGTGTGGTCAAAGAGTCTATGAAAACTGCCGAGAGGAAACCACCAGAAAATCTCGTCCATCTGAGGTAACCCGTGTACTACTGTTACTTTAGTGGATCATTACCAGCTGATCTCCTTTTCCATAAAACTGTACTGTATGTCCCCTTAATACTCAAACACAGTTCTTCAAATTGTCAACTTACACTACTCAATAGTTAATACATTGGGACACACAAGAACCTTCAAACGATTAAAATAAATTACCGTAAAAGAAAAAATTGTACAGCAATTAAAAACTGCTAACTTTGTGTTTACATAAAAAACATTATATCTACTTCACAAATTATAGTCACCACGACACTTACACTCCCCTTCAACCCAATCATCCATTTTTACCATTACTGTACTGTGGAAAGTAATCATTAACCTTGATTGACATCTTGTTACTTAAAAAAAATATATATACTGTATATTACCACCTACATCACTACACGGTAACTATATCCTATTCTTCCTCTGCCCAATCATCTCATCCCATACCTTTTGCAGCTTCCATCAACATTTCTTGTACAACAATGCCAAAGGTTTAGTTATCCTGCAACATCCTCAGCATACGAGCCTGTTCCTCGGGATTGAACTTGCTGGCTACTGATCGCACTCCTCGCTCTGTCAACGTCCAAGCCTTGTTGACGACATAGTTCTTGATGCAGAAGTAAGGAGAGAGGACCTCCTCCACCAGGGTGTCATCAACACGACCCAGGGAGCTCAGCCGTGTCACCTCTCGTATAGACGCCACTCCACTCTCCCCTGGCGCCTGGTAAAGATGTCACACATACATTATTATTACTGTATTATTATTGCAGAGGTACATGGACAAAGCAAACTATAATTATTAAACTGCTCCTGTTAACTTGTACACTGACTGCAGTGATTCCATGGTAATTAAAGGGTGATTTAAATATTTCCTTCAGGTAATCAGTAAATTCTAGTTTAGAGATAATGGTAATTATTGCATAGAAATGATCTGTGAACTTTTGCTAGTAATTACGAAGTTGGAGACATAAATTATACCAGCAGTCAGTCCAGCTCAGTACAGTGCAACAGTCAGTCCAGCTCAGTACAGTACAACAGTCAGTCCAGCTCAGTACAATAGTCAGTCCAGCTCAGTACAGTACAACAGTCAGTCCAGCTCAGTACAGTACAACAGTCAGTCCAGCTCAGTACAACAGTCAGTCCAGCTCAGTACAACAGTCAGTTCAACAAACAGAAGCATTCAAGATGTCTTGAGTATACTCGTATTCTACCATCAACCCACAAGCACCCGCCTTACCACACCAAGCACCCACTTACCACCTGCCCACACCGTCAACCCACCTTGCCAATGATGCTGATGAACACTGGACGGATAAACTCCAGCACCATGTCAACAAAGGTCTTGGCGTCGTGTTTCTCCAGCACTTGAGGTTTTTGTGGCCGTTTTGTCACTGGAGGTTTGGGCTGTGACACCTTCTGAGACTGTGATGAGGGAAACAGGAAGCTGAGAATACTGCCTAAGCCTGGGGAGGACGCTGCTGGGGAAGATGCCACTGGTGAGGGTGCCGCTGCTGGGGGTCTAGGTGCTGGAGTCCTAACAGGTGGTGGTGGGGGCCTGGTGGGGCTGTTTCCTGGTGGTCAGATATAAATTAGTCAACTACAGTATAGGGTGTTGGGGAAAATGGAAATCTTGGTAATGTCGTTACATAATGATAAGGTATAAATTTAGTATGGACTGCAGTGTAAAGGAAACTTAAAAGTAAAAAAATGAGGGTCAACAATGTCCAGCAGCACAGAAACACTGTCAGCATGTTCATAGACTAATAAATATATTTTTAACATGAACTGGCTAAAAAGTTACCGATTTACAAATCATTACAAAACTTAAGGGAATATAATCTTAATGACGACAACATTGATGGTGATGACAACCACAGTGACAGCGAGTGAGAGTGGTGAAGACGACAACTACAGTGGGGATGCAAATTGCATCATCTTTGGTAGAAGCTACCCATTTTTCTGCTGAATTCTCTCAGAGAAAACGCCACGCCCATGACATCCAACGGGTTGGTGGAGGCTTAAGATATGACTGGCCGAGGCTGGACCACATGACAGTGTAGGGTTCTCAAAACCAAGGTGTCATAACAACATACATCAGACCGAGTAAACCGTCCTCTGGCACTACACTGAATTTCTCTAAATAGCTCCCTAAAGTTGCACGTATATCGAGCTGTGGTCCTCCCCACCCTGCTATATGGCAGCGAGGCATGGGTTATATACAGGAGGCACCCCAAGGCACTTGAAAACTTTCACCAACGTAGTCTACGTTCCATCCTCCGAGTTTGCTGGGAAGACAAGAAAACAAATGCCAGTATTCTCTCTGACAAAATCTGTAGGAGTATCGAGGCTACCATTATCCATGAACAATTACAATGGACTGGCCATGTTACCTGCATGGACAACAGTAGACTGTCAAAGCAGCTACTTACAGTCAATGAACAAAAAGTACAAGGACAGTTTTAGGACAAACCTGAATAAGTGCCAATTCGACCCCCTCACCTGGGAGATGATTACTCCACACCGTAACACTTGGAGGAGCACCACACAAGAAAGTGTCAATTCTTTCAAGTTAGCCCGACTGCATACAGAGGTCGACAAGTGCTAATGCCGGGAAAACGCTGCCGCCGCCCCTCCCACATTAGATGTAGCCCTCCACATGTCCAACATTTGTGGACGGCCCTGCCAGTCCCGTATCAGCCTCTCTAGTCACCTCCGAGTTCACCAACGAAGGTGACATCCTTAATAAATCATATCATTTTATCATAGCTGGATGATCGTCATACTCGATTCCGAGTAACAGCAAAGTAGTAGTGTGTGTGTGTGTGTGTGTGTGGTATGATGGTGTGGTGTGGTGTTGAGAGAGAGGCTCACCAGGGAGGGAGGAGAGGTAGTTGCCCATGTAGTACTTGAGGAACTCCAGGACCATGGTGGTGACGGGCGAAGAATCTCCTCCAGATCCCCCTAAAAGAGAGCTGGGAGGTCTAGGCGTGGTCTTAGGTGCAGGCGTGGGCTTGGGTCTTAGGTTAGGCCAGTGGTCAGGCTTGGGGGAGTTGTTGTTGATAGAGTTGGGATTCTTGGAAGGTGCCGACTGGATCTGTGGGCATGAGTAAGGGTGTTAGAGGGCTGGGTGGTGGCATAATATTCTGCAGGCATGTCAGGAAGCCTACAGTATAATTGCCTGATCATCAGACTGTTTCCTGCCAGCAAAAGTAAGATAGCACAAAGAAGGGCGTTATACTGTTGAGTCATGAAGACTGATGAATTTATTGCCAGTGGAGGACCTCGAAAAGAAAAAAAAGTGGGGTAAATGTTGGTTTGTAGTGCACACAGGTTCAACATTGTCAAAGTTGTAACAGCAAATGCAATGTGTTCTCCCACATTACAAATCCTACCATTCAAATATGCTGGGAAAGGGAAGATATGAGTGCTGGTATAGAAGCGTGAGACGTGGGACAAGAACCACAGGTAAAAAGACACCCTGGAATGAGTCCACCAAACAACAAAACAAAGCAAACTGATGAGAAAGCCCATCGCTATACCCTAGTTATTTTAACCTCAGATACACTACGGTACACCATAGTACACCCTGATATATAATACAGGTGGCTTTTTCTTCACTTAGGCTACACAGTGGCTTTAACCCTACAATACATAAGTTAGAGTGACAACATTACCCTTTGGCTTTCTGTTCTAAAATAAGAGATATCTGGACCCAAAGTGGAGGGATAAGATTCGGCACCTTCTCTCTTACTTACCTAGAATGTTACCTTCTTAACTCGGTATACTGCTGTGGGTTGCACTTCATCAGAGAGTGAGACGACCTTTACAGTACTGGCTCCTACTAAGACGACCCAAGTTTTCTAGTGTGTCACAGAGACTAAGAGAGACTGTGAGTGATGGTTAATCCAGGAGTCTTACCGTTTCTGGTCACATGGATCCCAGTCGTAATAGACCCGAACCAAACCGCACCTAGACCCCCACCCTAACTTAAACTAACACAGACCATCAACATAATCTAATCTGGCCTACAGACCCAAAACCTAACCTAACGTAGATCCCCAACCTAACCTGTCTGACCTAACAAAGACCACAGCCGATAGACTCATCATGGCCGTTTAGAGACAAGAGATTCACCATGGCCATGTACAGACAAGAGACTCACCATGACCGAGTAGAGACAAAAGATTCACCATGGCCGGGTAGAGACAAGAGACTGACCTGGGAGAGATATGGGCCGAGGGTGTGGCTGATGAAGGCAGTAATGGCGGAAGAGGGGTCGTCAGAGTTGTACATCTGCATCACCATGGGCATGAACTGCTTGATCACATCCGCATACTGCTTGGTGGTGGGCGAGCCTTCCAGCATACCCACCAACCCGAGCACCAGACTCTGTAATGATGATATTGTATTAAAGGGCTGATAAAATGACTTCACTGAGAAACCAAGACAATGAAATAGACATCTAGACACTTGAGAAAGACACCTAAATAGACATCTAGACACTGAGAAAGACACCTAGACACTGAAATAGACACCTAGACACTGAGAAATACACCTAGACACTGAAATAAGACATCTAGACACTGAAATATACACCCAGACACTGAAATAAGACATCTAGACACTGAAATATACACCCAGACACTCGGGCGAATGCTATGTATAAATGTTTTACTTTGAGAGATTATTATTATTATTATTATTATTATTATTATGACATTATTATTATTTCAAGTTTTTTAAAAGACTTTCAAAGCAGCGGCATCAAGTAAGAGAGAGAGACTCCTCCTCACCTCAATAGTAGAAGAACTTTGGCGATAGGACTGCCCTACCCTCCTCCTCCAAGAAGGCTCTCCACGCCCTCACGTCTCGGCCAACGCCTCGTCTAAGGGCAGCCAGTGATTCTCGAAGGAAGGAGAAGACCCGTCCTGATAAAGCGTTGTATGTTGTGAACTCCATGTAGCACTGACCCATCGAGATCTCATCGTTGTACGTCTGCCAAAGGAGTTGAGACACGTGAGGGTAACTAATTATGTCTCTTGTTCACACACACACACCCCTTTCACATGCACAAACCCACCCCTCACTCCCCCTTTCTCTCTCACACACACTACACACACACTACACCCCAAGCTCTTATAAATACATAAACCCACCCACCCACTCCTCCCACACACACATCCAGCCCCTTACACACACACAGACACTCACTCACCCTGACTAAGGACTGGATCTTGCTCGGTATAGAGAAGATGTCAATGTTCTGTACCATCTCGCCGATGCTCTTGTACCCGAAGAAGCGCAGGAAAGTCGTCAACCAAGACCCTTCCTCCTGCAACACAACATAGTTAATGACATCACGTACTCCTGACTACAACACTGGCGAATAAAGTCTTGTACACCCGACTACAATACTGGTTAATGACGTCATGAACACCTGACCTGTCTGCACCGCAGGTTAATTAGTTCATATATAATCGGCCTAATTAGTGATGTCACTGGTTTCGGTAGGATTCGTTCAAAGAGCGGTATCTGACAACTCAACGGGAGCCTAGCGAATGACGCCGTTGTAGGATGGTACAATATGTTAACCGACTCGTGAACCGACTTTCTCGATGCCTAACCCATTTCTGGCATATCTTTATATATTTGCAGGTAAAACGTGCAGCAGAAAAAAGGACAGCCAGCCCGAGATGATACAACAACACAAGCCGATAACACTTGTATGTGTAGAATATTCTGCACATGGTTCATTTCCTCGTTTAGAAGTGGTTTTACTCTTGGAACAATATGAAAGGCATTTGTTGCTCTAAAATTATCATTAATTGAATAAGCGTACATAGAAGGTAACAATATAGCCAACTGTTACTTTTTTCCAAAGGAACGAATGGTCGTCAACTCAACTCACCTCATCAGGTATGGTCGACCCCTGGATCTCGTTGTTCTCAATGGCGTTCTGGTCTGTGTCTGTGTCTATCTTCCTCTGCATGACTGTCTGTCCGCCCCCTGTCGAGGCCCTTCCCTCTACCTTCGCCCGCCCCATGCTCTCACACCTGCGGAGGGGCAAGAAAGGGATAATAACAATACTATTTATCCAAAAATATAAGAATTGTGGCCCAGAAATAAGAATATCCATAACACGTTCGGTAAATCAGTCAAAACAAATTAGAGCTCTGCTCCCCTCTCACTGAAAACATTGCATGGACCGCTTCTTCACTATAGTCAAATTAAAATTAAAAAAAAATGAAAAAAATTAATAAAAGTGAATAGGATTTGAGCCCAAAAATAAGAACAATCCTTAGAGCGGAAAGACACGACCCCCTCAGATATTCACCAATCAGGAGACAGGGTTCACTTTTGCCAGATTAGGTTGAAGAGACTATAATGCACCTAACAAAAGTACTTAAATTGATTAACAAAGGTACTTAAATTATCCAACCAGGAACGAACTCGTAGCAATAAATAAATAAAATAGATTTAGGCGCGAGATAGGTAAACATTGATTTGGAAATAGAGTAGTGGATGAGTGGAACAAGTTACCAAACATCATCATTAACTCGAACACGCTGGGTAACTTCAAATATAGGTTAGACGGATATATGAGCAATAGGGGTTGGGTGTAAATGGGACTGCCTAGTATGATCAGTGACAAGGTAGATGGTCAACCCAGCCAACTACTATCACCCTCTTCCTGACTTCAGTTTCCGGGCGAGAGTATTTACACTCATACTCCACCACTCAAGTTATTTTACCATTTTTCCGTTACACACAAACAAACAAGACCTTGAGAGCCGCTTGGGTATCTCCTCATCTTCCTCCCACTTTTACCCTTCCTTCCATCTTCCCCTCGCACTCTACTCTCCTTCCTACCTCCCCTCGCCCCCATTCCCTCTCACCAGACAGGCGTGAAGGTGGTAGGGCTACAACCCGCTGGAGCTGAGTTGGGTGGACGCCGGGAGCCATTCTTGTTCCCGGCAGACGGTGTAGAAGGAGGAGGTGTTGGCGGGAAGCACCTCACACGGCAGGTCCTGGTGGGGGTTGTACTTGTGGAGGATCTCTGGCTGGTCGTGAACACCAGGTTAAGAGTCGATACCTGCAGGGAGAAGGACACGTGTTTAGGTCTTGCAGTTAGAACGTGGGTTAGAATGACTTACAAGTTACTAAAACGACGGAACCAAGTGTGTATAATAATAGTACTTAAGTGAAAATGACTTCTAAATTATGAAAATAAGTAAATATGACTTATAATCGATGAGAATTATTAATATTGACTGATAATCATTTAACAGGGATAAAAATAACTTTAGAAATTATATTATACCACATAAATTATAACACTGAAATCCAACTGTAGGTGAAAACAAAACCCCCTCTCTCCTCATTCCCCACCTCCTCCCTCCCCTCTCTCCTCATTCCCCACCTCTCCTCCCTCTCTCCTCATTCCCCACCTCCTCCCTCCCCTCTCTCCTCATTCCCCACCCCTCCTCCCTCCCCCTCTCTCCTCATTCCCCACCTCCTCCCTCCCCCTCTCTCATCATTCCCCACCTCCTCCCTCCCCCTCTCTCCTCATTCCCCTCCTCCCTCCCCTCTCTCTCCTCATTCCCCACCTCCTCCCTCCCCCTCCCCATAATACCAGAATGTAAACAGACTTTTCTGATAATAAATAAATAAATAAAATATGAAAATAAAAACAAATAAAGGAAATTCAGTAATATTGTATTTTCTCAACATCAAAAAAGTTCTCTTTGCCTCTGAGCCATTAGCCCCTTAATCTACCCATTATTATTTTGCAATATTAAATCCCATTCAAAGTTAACCCTTCAACCATTAAATCTTCAACTGTTTACCCACTGGGGCCATTAATCACCCCACACCATTATCCCAATATGCCCTTACACCATTAACTTATCGATATACCCACTAACCCATGTACCACTTTCCAATTTACGTTATATGCCCCCACTTCCTCCCCCTTCCCTTTCTCTCCTCCCTTCCTCCCCCAGCACACACCACCGGCACCATGACCTTCTTTGGTTTGACCTTAACCCTTGGGAGAAGTTAAGTATAGTACTGTGTGGTGGTGGTAGTCAGTGGTAGTGTGGTGGTGATGGTGGTGGTGTGGTGGTGATGGTGGTAGTGTGGTTTTAGTATGAAATATCGGGTCCGGTTCCAGATTCTAGTCGGTTATCAGGTCTGCTCCCAGTCCCGGCTTCGGATTGGGAGTCGATTCCGGATCTGAGTTCGAGTCAGGGTTCGCAACCGGCGTCGGGTTCTGGATCCGGTTTGGGTTTCGGGTACCGGAATTAGCTTGGCCCTGTGTGCGACACCTCCACTACCCCGGGACTTTCTCGCCGTTGTTCTGTGAGGCCAATGTACCCAAACCCGGCTGCCGGATGTCTTAGTTCTCCGTGGTGCTTCCTCATCCGGCCCCAGCCACCACCACCACCACCAGGACATCCGGCTACTCTTACACCACCACCACTACTAATTATTATTATTATTATTGTTTTTTGTTATTATTATTATTATTATCATCATCATCATTGTTGTTCTTCTTATCATCATTATCATCACCATTATTATTATTGTATTATTCATTTTATCCATTTACTACATCATCATCATCTTTGCATCTTCTTATTTCCTTATTCGTCTCAGGGTATTTTTAATTACTTCATTCTCTGTTCCTTCTCCAATACCTACCAGCCTGTCTCCTCTTTAATCTTCCTCCCCTCTTCCTCCTCCTTGACCTTCCTCCCCTCCTCCCCTCTTCCTCCTCCTTGACCTTCCTCCCTCTCCCCTCTTCCTCCTCCTTGACCTTCCTCCCCTCCTCCCATCTTCCTCCTCCTTGACCTTCCTCCCCTCCTCCCATCTTCCTCCTCCTTGACCTTCCTCCCTCCTCCTGATCTTCCTCCCTCCCCCCACATCATCACCCAACTATACTCTGTGATCTACTTAACACAATACGTTCCTTTACTCACTGACTCACTTAACACAATACTTTTTACCGTACTTAAAACCCAATACTATTATTACTTAAAATATCCCCAAATACCAAAATATCCTAAAGTAATTAACAGGTTCAGCAGGAGACCTACTGAAAAAAAAACCACTTACATTTGGATCACTACTAAAGCATTGACATCTCCCATTTGCTATTCATTAACCCTTGTACGTCACCCCTTGAGTATGATGGCCATAACGGGAAGGGTGAGGGAAGAAGTGAGGGATGGGGAAGAGTGGGGAGAAGAAAAGGTGTGAGAGGAGGAAGAATTGCCCTCCTTTTATTTCACTTGACCCTTGACCTGACCTCTCTACCTGACCCACCTGTTGTTGTTGTGGTGGTAAAGTGTTTGTTTGTTTGTGGTGTGTTTGTTGTTTTGTTTTGTTTGTTGTCCTTATAAACGATGGTGTTTGTTAACTTGTTTACTTTTTCGTGTTTGTTGTTCCACCCTCCCATCTCTTCTCCTTCCTCCCACTCCCTTCCATCTCCTCGGCTTCCCTCCACCTCCTCCCCCAGGCGAAAAGGAGAATCTACACATAGCATTCCTCCCTACACTCACCCCCCTCCCTTCCTACCTCACCAATAGCCCTACTACCCCACCCCACCCCCCCTCCTTTTCCCCCGCGGACTAACCCACACCTAGAAAGCTGGCGAAAGTGTCAGAGGAGGGGAAGGAGGAAAGGGAAGAGGAGGGAGAGGGGGTGGGAGGAAGGAGGAGGGGGGAGTGGGAGGAGGAGGAGGAAGATGAGGATGATGAGGAGGAGGAGAATACAAATGACAGGTAGAAAAGAAAGTCAACAGCGTCACGCCAAGTTACCTACAAGACTCGGCTGGTTCGTGGTAATCCGCATTTCACATCCGGATTCAAGTCTACTGATCATTGACGAACCAACACAAGTACAAATTTATGCCTATTGGGACAGTCATACAGGTGGCGCGACAGTCATACAGGTGGTGCGACAGTCATACAGGTGTTGCGACAGTCATACAGGTGGTGCGACAGTCATACAGGTGGTGCGACAGTCATACAGGTGGTGCGACAGTCATACAGGTGGTTGCGACAGTCATACAGGTGGTGCGACAGTCATACAGGTGGTGCGACAAGTACAGGTGGTGCGACAGTCATACAGGTGGTGCGACAGTCATACAGGTGGTGCGACAGTCATACAGGTGGTGCGACAGTCATACAGGTGGTGCGACATTAAATTAAATCAGTTAGCAAAATTAAAAATAAAATATCCCGCTGTTCTTTAAATATGTTAGAGCCATTGTGAACTAGTATGACTATATCTATCTATCTATATCTTGAAGGCAACAGATACCCAGAGACGGGGGAAATAACCACTGAACCAAAATAATTAAAAATTACAGTATAGACAGATATATATAGTGCAGGTATACAAACAATATACATAAAACAACGTAGGTATGTAAAGTACAGTTCAGTCGCCCACCAAAACTATTTTCACCCGGGGGCAGAACTTGACGGTGTGAGCACTGAACGGTCGACCACACACTATTGTCTACTGTCTGGATGAAATTAACTGGTAACACTTTCCCAGAATTTCAATGTAGCCAATAATTTAAGTTATATTTCTGCAGCTATAGATATACAGTATAATGTTTGTGTATATTTCAAACATATGACGATGCATTGTAGAATATATCAAAGCATTTCGTCCAGGTTTTCTAATTATAGAGACGAAAAAGTAACAGGTTTTTTTTAACAGACTGTAGGTAGACAATACAGGTAGGCTATAAATTGTAAACTGAACCTAGTTAAAAATATATCAATTTAACACAACGGCTTCGTGAACAGAAATATGGTTTCCCGAGAGATCAGAGACACCGGGAAAATGAACCTCCCTAGCTGAGAGGTATTGGCCGGTGGCGGGAAAAACAGGTCCACACATTCCACCACAATAACAAGTCTCTCTCCTCTGGCCACAGGCTACAAGTCTCCGTTTTCCTTGACACAACCACTGCTACCACCCTCTTCCCCCTACCCCATCGTTAAACCCTCTAAAATAACACCAAATTACTTTCCTATTTATTCTATAATAATAATAACTATATATCTTACCATTTAGTACTTCACAAGACAGTCTGTGGTTAAGGAATTCAATTTTTCCTCACAGTTTTCTCAGTTTTTATAACGTGATTGGAAACTCTCATCTTGTATTTAATTAATTATCTTATTCTTTCAAGAAAAATCTGTTAAATAATTATTAAATCATCGACTTTAATACGATTAATAAATAAAAATAATATAAGGTTTAGAAGTCTCTTATTTTCGCGTAAAACTTGACGCAGCGACACACACACGTCTCATCTTCCGCCTTCTCCGATCACCAGAATCGTCTTATATAAAAGGAAATAATAGTTTCCTGGCGATTTAAGCGATAAATTCACAACAAATTATACGACTGAGAACTTAATTATCAATATATAAACTTAATGAGCAGTTCCTTCATAACACAGTACACAAAAACAGGAAGAGAAAAAATGGGTCAACGAGAATGAATGAAATCACGTTCGCGGTGTTGCCATCCAGCCCTCCTCTATTTCTACAGTATTTTTTTTTTATGAATGGCGCCTCGAGTCAGTAACTTCCACACCGCCTCTAAAACACAATCTCTATTTTTTATCAACTTTCTCTACACGAATTTCCGGATGTCCTCTAATACAAAATAATAACTAAAAAAAAAAACTCAACAATCTGTTTAGTTTTACGAGTGGTAGGAGATATTCAAACCCGTCTCCACCAGTATCAAGTCACACACAGAGCCCAGAAATCTAAACAAAAACAAAACAACTTACATAAAAACCCTTGTTAATTATTTTGTTTGTTTTATAATCCAGTGTATAAACAAAATATGACCATAATTCCTCTGACTTCTAGGCACAAGCTTCTGGCGGCACCTGTAGGCGGATGAGAGGGGCGAAGTGGGTAGGGAGAGGGGAGGAGGGGTGGGTACATTTAAGGACGGACACACACACACACACACACACTACTCCAAGGCCAGGAAAGGGTAGGGAGTGTGTTTTTGTGTCAGACATTGAAGGTGTCCCTGAGATGTTGACAATTG